AATATTAAAGTACTAACCATTACTGATATTTAGAACTAAAATTAAGTGTGAAATAAAACTTTAAATTTTTTTCAATTAATAATCCACTGAAAAGATATAAAGGTAATATTAAAGTACTAACCATTACTGATATTTAGAACTAAAATTAAGTGTGAAATAAAACTTTAAATTTTTTTCAATTAATAATCCACTGAAAAGATATAAAGGTAATATTAAAGTACTAACCATTACTGATATTTAGAACTAAAATTAAGTGTGAAATAAAACCACTTTTTCTTTTTAGGTTCTCGAGTTCACACCATAAATGACTTTGGTTTTGTTGTGCTGGAGATTGATTGGTTGTTTCCACGAGATGCTGGTGAATATGTTTGTCGAGCCACTAATAAGTGTGGAACTGACTCTACAAAAGCGGTGCTGAAAGTTAAAAGTAAGCATCTGAAATCCTGCTTGAATTTTTATGTTCAGAGTCTGTACTGAAATATACTAAATATAATACTTTAGAAAAAGATTGACTTTTCTTTTACTTGAAATCTCTTACTTTATATATTTAGTTAATAAAAAAGAATTTGTATTGTATCTGAATTTAAAAAATGTATTTTAAATACTGTAATTTTCTTCAATGTTTCTATTTTTGTACCATTTTTATTTATTTTATAAGCCTATGTATGTATAAAAAGAACAAATAATACCTAGTTAATGTTTTAATTCATTATATTCTGAATATTGGACTGGCTAAATTTGGTTATAAGTTTAGACTTGTATGTTGATTAATGAGGTAATGAAATGTTGACAGGTAAACGGGATATCATCATGGAAAGCCAGCTCCCTGAAGGTATGTCTGCTGACAAACTACGGGAACTAGAATATCCACCCATGCTGGAGGAACCTGTGGAAGAGATTACTCTTCAACCTCCTCACTTTATCACACATATCCAACCTCAGGAGAATCTAAATGAAGGAGACAGTGCTCACTTTGAATGTCGCCTTGAACCCATCAATGACCCTAAGCTTCGAGTAGAATGGTACCACAATGGCCAGCCTTTACGCTCTGGTAAGTTCTTACAAATAACCCATTATAAGAAGAAAATTTTAATGACTTCAAAATTAGCTCATGATTGCTATCATCTGTGAAGCCAATAATTGTTTGTAATTAAGCACAAAGCTTCACAATGGGCTATCTGTGCTCTGCCCACCACAGGTATAGAAACCTGGTTTCTAGCGTTATAAGTCCACAGACATACTGTTGTGCATAAAGAATACTGTTTGCTTATAGCCTGATTAACTTAACTAGGAATGGAAATGTAATTTTTTATTTTACAGTTTCTAAATGCAGTTAGCACAAAATAGGTCAAGAGATAGAATCTTAGTTTTAATAATTATATTGTACTGTTATTTCTAATATGAACTTTAGCAAGTTGTATGCTTTACATAACACGTTGCATTTTTTCACAGATAGTTAATACGTGTGGTAATACATTAAGTCTAAAGAAAATTGATATTATTGACATACTATTTTTTGTTTTTTGAACAGGTCATAAATTTAAGACAACCCATGACTTTGGCTTTGTAGCACTGGATGTGCTTTATGTTTACCCTGAAGATTGTGGCGAGTATATGGCAAGAGCTTTTAATGATCTTGGAGAAGATATTACAAAAACTACTTTGAAGTGTAAAGGTAAAGAAATTAAATGGTACAACTTACAAACAAGAATTATGATCTATGATTATTAACTAGTTGTGTTCTGTATGAGAAGAACTTTTTATGTTAACTGTGGTTGTGATGAGAATGAATGTAATTTTTCTATGATCTTTTTTAGTTTAGCTTATAAAATTTTGTGCATAGAAATATGTTTTTACTCAGGTTGATATTAGATAATTTTAACATACAGAAAATAGATGAAATACACTGAATAAATATGTACAGTATCTAGAATACAAAGTAAAGACATCAAACACTGAAACGTTTTTTTTTACTTTAGGCAAACCATCCCTTATCTATCGAACCCAGCTGCCTAAAGAGATGGAAGGTGGTGTTCAAAAAATAGCAGAAATGGAAGCTGCTTGGCAAAGGTAAGGTTATCTTTTTATCATCTTGTTTATAATGGTTAATAGATACTACCAGAGTTTGAAACCTAATAGTCATTAATTTCTACATTATCTCTTAAACTATGCTGGAAACTTGAAATGTTGCAGTTGAAGGACAGCTGCATGAAAACTAGGGTACAAAATACAATGTGGGATTATCAAAATGTATTCTACTAAAAAGTAGGATTTACATACAGTATTGAAGATACATTGTCTGACATATTTAAACATTATTTACAAGCCTCACATATGATATGAAACTAAAACTGAAAATATAGCCTAAAGATTAGGGACAGTTATGAGTACTGACATCCACAACATCCCATATCTAAAACTAATGTTCACCATCTGCAACCAATTGTTGGAAGCAAGATGTTCCTGTTTCAATAGAAAAGCAAGGAAAGAGAAGGGAAAATATCAATAAAATAGATTATTATGACAGAACACTGGGATAATAAGTAAAACTTATCTCACTTACTTGTATGAACAACTTAATGGAACTTAAGATGTTTAGGTCAACAAAAATAACTATTAGAAGAACAAAGACCAAAATTGACTCTGCAAAGTCCACTAATGTAGTAACACATTTATCCTCCTTTTTAACCAATATACAACTACAGTGTGTGCTTAATTGTATAAATAATCATAAACAAAATCTTGGAGGTTCCCAACCTTTTTTAACACAAGGTCTCCCAGATCATTCTGTAACCTGACTGAGGCCCCCCACCCAGTAAATCTGTAGGTATCAATTACCTTAAAAATACTGCGCATATTCTATGTCTTCCAATTTGGGAACCACTATAGTATCCAACAGGCTTATGCTAAGTCATTGAAGATTACCTTGACATGTGGTAAAATCCAAAATAGGCACAAATTGTAATTTATGTTAATAAAATCTCTTTCTTTACTGTTTTAGCTTTTGATATTTGATACAAAAATTCTGTAAAATTATTGCCTTTGACTTTTTAGCAACATTGTACTGAGAAATATTTCAAGTATGTTTAATAAATGATGATGTGGAGAAACATAATGCTTAAGTCTTATAACTAAATGGTCTACATTAGAATGGAAGTACTTCAGCTTCTAACATTCTGCAACATATAAATGACTTGGAAATTATTAAAGTGTTTTCATAAAGATGAAGGAATATTACTATTAGATGAGGGAGACCCATACATTTGGGAGGAAAATTCTAAATATTTATCAGAAATGTTTTGTCAATAGAAATATTGCATATTTTATGTCTAAGTAATGATTTAAGCATGAGATATTGTTGTGTTTTATGTTTCCAATGTAGTATCATATGTGGTAGTAGTATAATTATTGATACTGTGATTATTAAAACTAATTATATCATCAGCAGTGTGTGTTTGTATGTTAAAGTCAATAAATCTGAATATGAAGCTATTTTTTTCATAAAAATACATATGCAACATCAGGAGAATAGTTAGCACTCACGAAGATACAAACAATCTGTTTGTAGACTTTATGTTTAAAGAAAGTAAAGTCAATAAAAAATTCAAAAACTTTAACAAATCACTCAAGATAAGGAAAATGTTATGCTTTCTTTCAATTAGATGTTAAAATTAACAAAACTGTTGTGTTATCTATTTATCATTATGTATTTTTACATAACAACTATGGATTTTGTAGAAAGTGACATATTTCACTATGCAAAGATATTTACCATTAAACCAAATAAAACCATATAAAGTAATACCACATGCACCCCAATACTCTAGGGTTGATGACATAGAAGAAATGCCTCAAGAGAAAACAGCACCCATGTTTGTAATGAAACCAGAACCACAAGTAGTGCTGGAAGGTGACTGGGCCAAATTTCAGTGCAGAGTAACAGGAAATCCTCGTCCTCGATTGATGTGGATCTTGAATGGACAAACTGTTGTCAATGTACGTAATTTGTTTCATAACTTTCTTACTTATATCAGTGTTGTATTTTTGGCTCATTTACTAATGTGTATACTGTAAGTTTCATTTATAAAACATTATCGTAAAACATTGATAACTTATGTTATTTTGTTCTAAAAAATTTTATTTACGTCTTAATAATGTAATGCCTTTGCTTTACAATGTACCTGGAATAATGTTTTATTTCATCATTAAAAATTTTGGACATAAGTAAAATAATTAATATGCCAATATCTAAATCCATAACCTTTAAAAATCCAGACTAATTTCAAGTTAAAGGACTTCAAAATATTTATTGAAAGCAATTAAAAGATCATTCTAAAATGAATAAAGTACTCATGATTTTTTAATATGCTTTAAAGGGATCCCGATATAGGTTGACATATGATGGTATTTTCCACCTTGACATTCCTAAGAGCAGACAATATGATCAAGGAAAAGTTGAGGTCATTGCACGTAATGCTTTAGGTCAGGCTTACTGCTGGACAACCCTGGAAGTCAAACCACGGTTTGATGATTATCGTGCGGTCTTGAAACATTCTCCTAAACGTAAGTGGTTCTAATTAACCTCTTTGGAGATTTGTGTGAAAGTACTTGTGACTGCTACTAGTAGATGACGTTTGCATCAAAGTCTAAACTATAAACTAAATCTTTTGTAATAATCTATATTTTCTAAATATTCCACTCCAAATAGAATTGGCATTGTATTATTTTTCATACATTTGATAAGAAATAGTTGTTATAGAAATAAAGTAAGTAAAGATTGGAAGGTTGAAAAAAAAAAGAATAAAATGGTAAATAATTGATCAAATGTTTTTTTTAAGTGCTTTGGCTCTTACTTATGTAATTTTTATCTTATTTATTTCATCATCATTTATCACAGAAGACATCAATTTTTATCCTGAAATATTTAGATACTGCTTACTGTCTGATATGATATTGTTTTGTTAATAAATATAATAAGTATTAGATAACTTTTCATTGATCTAAAATGTTCTTTACATTTTTTGCTTTGGTGACATTTCATATACTTCAAGTGAGAGTATTTTTAGTGATATAAGGAACCACTCTAAAGAGAGTAATGTTTTACAAGGTATTAAATACACAAAGACACCATAAGTAACTGGCAGTTGCATTTCTGTAATTTAATATCTTTTACAGCAGATATATTAAATTCAAATCTTCCAGAGCTATTAGTTTATATGAGCTTGTATAGCCCTGTAAATAACTGTAATAATTAGGCATGATCTCTTAATATTTATTTGTATAGCTTGGTATGATTCAGAAGTAAAACGTTATCAAAAAGACCGAAAAGAAACTGAACTTCACAAAGTTTTTGAAGAGAAACTAACACCTGGTGGAACTAAAGTAGACATCTGGAAGACACGCGAGGCTGAAGGTGGGTCTAATTGCATTTGTGCAAAACTCATTTTTTATGCAATATGTACACTGTTCACCTTCTATGTCTAATCTTGGAAAGTTTGTTGTAACAATTTTTTAATATTGAGAGAAACGCATAGCGGGTTAAAATATAAAAAAGCAAGGAAAACTACATGAATAGTGTTATGTTCTTTTAAAATATTAATCCTCCTTTTAATTATTTTAAGAAGAGAAACAGTTAAGACTTTGAAATTTATTTTTAATTAACATATTCTAGTTTTTAAAAAACATATAATGGGTTTGAAGTTTATTATTAACTAGTGTGCTAGAAGTGTAGAAGTGAATAACATTTTTACTCTCTGTGCTGAGGCCTTCATCAGTTCTTTGATGAAACTGTGCTGTTGGTTATACGTTATTGGTCTGTGATTTATAGACAGTGTTATAGTAATATTTGGATAACAGTGGTGTAGATTTGTTGTTAATTCTGATTGATGGTATGGTGAGTTCTATATTAATGCTTTGATAACAGCAGTGTGCAGCTGTTGCTGAATCCAGCTAACTGGTATAGACAGTGTTATAATAATGTTAATATAACAATAGTGTGGATTTGTTGTTGATTCCAGCTAATGGTATAGACAGTGTTATAATAATGTTAACATAACAATAGTGTGGATTTGTTGTTGATTCCAGCTGATGGTATAGACAGTGTTATAATAATCTTAACATAACAATTGTGTGGATTTATTGTTGATTCCAGCTAAGGGTATAGAGAGTGTTATAGTAATGTTAACATAACAATAGTGTGAATCTGTTGTTGATTTCAGTTGTTGGTATAGACAGTGTTATAGTAATGTTTAGATATGGGTAGATTTTTGAGGATTTAATATTTTTTTGTGGCACCTTAATGTTATGTTAGTATATAGAACCTTAGCTACAAAGTTCACATCAATGACATATAAACCAACAGCATGATTTTCTTAAATAACTGACAAAGACCTCAATTTGTTATCCACTTCCAGCAGATGAAGTCCTTAGAATTTCAAAATCAATACAGTTTTCTTTGCAAAAGCTCATTCAGCTAAAGCCAAACATTGATAAAGGTAATCTAGGTGAATTTATTTGAACAAAATGATTTTTTTTAACTTATGTGCTGCATATGTCCATAATAGTTTCTTATCAAAGAATAAGATTTGTACTTTATGACAGGGAAGTTTTAAGTCATTTATAACATATAAGTAGACGATTTGTGATATACTTGATTTGTAATTGTATATTATATTAGAAAGATTAAACAAGCTTCAATGCTTGTGTGTATATTTCTAGCAATTTATTGAGACAATATTTTTCAAAATCAAAATTAGTTTTTTAAGTAATTTATATCTGAATCCAGTAATGAGTAAAATAATTTTTAATTTTTTTTTCTATTGTAGGTGAACGAGTAAAAGTAAAACAGAGATTAGAAGAAGATACAAAGAAGATGCAGCCTGAGGTTAAGAAATACAAAACTGATGCATTTGACGTAAGTGATTAACTTTGTTAATCACCAGAGTTGTTTGAACATACAACATGAAATTTCTCTTTATGTATGAAAAAACTAGTAAAAAAAGTTTTAGTGTAACATCTATAACAGCATGCTGTAACTTCTTTATTTAATTAAATTATTTAAATTTATGAGATTGATATTGCATATGCAATTTTCAAACATCTCTTATAAAAACAATCGTTTTGAATATCTCAGAAGATTTACAGAATATGATGCATAGTCATTTAACAAGTAATTTTGTTTTTTTCTGAGTTAATTTTTCATAAATTGTCATTATACATTGTTCTTTAGTATTTTATGCAGTAGAGTGTTAATATTGTCCCCTGGTGGGACAGCAGTAAGTCTATGGACTTGTAACACTAAAATCTGGGGTTCAATTCCCAGCATGGACACAGTAGCCCAATGTGGCTTTGCTCTAAAACAGACAAACAGATTGCTAATATCTGGGTCTTATGACATGGACTAACAGTGGTGAAGGCCATGCCACATACACTTGTATTCATACATTTTAATTCTGTTAGAAATGTAGTCGGTTTTTAAAACACCCATGGACTGTAGTCATAATTATTAATAACTTCTCATCAAAAATAAGCTAACTATACAGAACAGAACTAAAAAGTAACTTATAATTAGTAAAGCCAGTTCAGTATAAAATGTGACAAGAAATACACACTGTCATTAATTAATATGCAAGAATAATCAAACTTGTAATCATTAGAATCCATTAAACAACCAACATTTGATGTGACTTTGACTTTCAACTTTTCTCTTTCATTTGGCCCAAATCTATTAGATGATTTTGAATCATAATTTTGTACATGCCCACACAAATGTGTATAATATGTTCCTGCCAACAAAAGTGGCATAGATAAGAAATTGATAGAGCTTTAATTTCTTTGTGCAGTTTTGAATTGTTGAATATATATAACCCCTAAAGGTGAATAGAAAGATTGAAAGAGAACTTCTCTTGAAAATCTTTATCTATCCTATAAGGTGTCTTTTTTTAAATAGTTTTATTGAAAGTAAAAACATTTTTATAATTATTTATTGCCTTGTGAATATGGTAGAATGGTCTTCCTTCACAAATTTAAGTCTGCATATGATCAGTAACTTTTCTGTGTGTAAGTCACTATTTTGCTTCAATTATGTTGGTATATTACTTTAGGTTGACAGTACCACAGGTGAAAAGAGAGTAGAGCAACAACCTCGGGTACCCTGGATCACCAAAACATATAAAGACAAAGTGTATGTATTGCTCACTGCATGACTTGCTGTAGATCCCATTTGGGCATCTTTATTAAACAAATGTTTGTTGGTTTAATGGCAGTGTTAAAGTTTCAAATTATTTTAAAGAAACAATGTTTCCTTCTCATGCAAACATGAGCAAGTATCTGGTTGTTAATAGTGCATTGTGCTGCTCTAATAACAATGATTTTGATATTCATGGATTAGAGGAATAATGACTCATATGCTTGACTGGATGGAATGTTGATATAAGAACAAGTGCAGAAGAGAGGAAACAAACAATTTTGATGGACACAATTAGTTAATGTTTATTCTACAATAAACAATTACTTTACATATGTCTTGCATGTTGAAAATGATAAAATGAAAATGAACTTGAAACTGAAATTAAAATGTAGCAATGCACACAACTGGCAAATACAATAAATGATCTATAGAAAAACACAGCACTTTATAGCAGTTCTTGGCCCTTTCAAAGCAGAAGCTAATGTCTTTCATGATTCACATTCTCTCATTCTATAGCTTATGCCCCCCAGTGGCACAGCGGTATGTCTGCGGACTTACAGTGCTAGAAACCGTGTTTCGATACCCATGGTGGGCAGAGCACAGATAACCCTTTGTGTAGCTTTGTGCTTAATTCCAAACAAACAAACTATAGCTCACTAGTCACAAATAGGAATCCATAGATATCTGTGATGTAGGACACAATAAAAGTATCCTATGAAACAGTAGATAACTGCTGTGATGAACCTTGTTACAGCAAGCAAAAGCTAAGGCTGAATTTAGCATGTGATATCGACCAGATTTAATGTGTTCTGAATTAGAACTCTAGAAAATTTAAACATTTTGTAAATGTAAAATATACATTATGGGAGAGTGAGATTGGTAATATTTGCATAGCCATATGGTCACTCGTTTGTAGCCAGTTAATTGAAATATTCAAAATGTTTAAGTTTTGTCTTTTTTTTTCAGAAAATTGTACTGTCAAGTGTTTTTATTCTGTTAAGTTTGATGCAAAAGATGTTTTAAATTTAAACAAGTTTGTATGATAGAATATTATGAATAAGTAAACTAAGTTAGGGACAACAGATGCAACATAGAAATTAAGGAATGCAGTCATTGTTGGTTAATAAAATCTATTTACTTTTCTATTTCTGAAAGAACATGACTGCTAGAACATGTGGATGAATTGCTATTAGTTTGTATGATTGTGCTGATCAAAACTATTGTATTTGTTGTAACAAAATCCATGATACTAAACTTTATTGTTATCTTTCTTTTGTTACATCTGACTAAAGCTTTGAGTTTTATCTTTCAGAGATCATACAGTTCAGCCTCCTATCTTTCCTGAAACAGTGGTTCATGGCAAAGAGGTACACGTATCTAAGCAAAAACAAACTCAGTTGGAGATGAAGGGACAATGGGAGGTGACTCGTCACACAACTTTGACAGAAACTATGGAACAAGAACACAAGGGTGTCACTCAGGAGAGGAAAGTCATAGGCTTAGTGGTATGTTCTTCATATACCATGAAACAAGATTGGTTCACATGCAGACATTAACAGTTTATATACAAAAACAGTTGGTAGATAGAAATTAGTTAAATGAATTAATGCTATGGGCAATTTATTATGAATTAAGGAAGCCATCAAAACAGAAATTATGTTATGACATTTATTTTTAAGGTCTCTTTTTTGTATTAAGAAAGATATTGAAATAGAAGCTATTCATTTATTTATCATCTCTTGATTATTAGGAAAAATATTTTGGAGAAAGGTGATTATAAATATATATAGATATATAGAGTTGAGGTGTTCATTACGTATGAGATCTATCTGGATAATATACAAGCAAACAATAGTTTTCTTATTATGAGTTCTCTCTGTATAATGCAAGATATATATGAAAATATTTAAACGTGTTATCTTCTACTTACTTAGAAATGCATTCCTTTAACTAATTGAATGCCAAGTCATATATAACATGCTTTTTAATTGAGAAGTGAAAATTAAATTTGTATGAATTTCTTTGCTAAGGGAGTTATCCAATTTCTATTCATTCACTTGCCTGTTAAATTGGTAGGAATGTTGACTTGAGTTCCACTTTGCCAATTGTTTTTGCACATTAGACTTCATTCAAATATGAGAGTAAACTCCACAAAGACTCAGTCTTTCATCTATTCTGCTAACACCTAATACAATATAAGATTAAATATGGGAAGTAATTTCCAGTCGTTATTACTCTTATATGTATTAATACATGTATTTGAAGTATTCCATATACAAAGTGGAGATATCATCAAGGATAGAAAAGTTTTTAGAAGATGAAACTTATGAGTGGATAAAATTAAATGGTCTGAAAGCGAATTCTTCCACTTAAACAAAGATTTCATTAATATTTATTTTCATAACTTTTCTTTCTTAACAGCCTGAAACAAAACCTCCAATATTTACCAAGAAAATTCAACCCTGCCGAGCATTTGAGGGAGAAATTGCCCAATTTGAATGTACTTTTACTGGTACCCCAATTCCAACCATCACTTGGTACAGGGAGAACTTCCCCATCACCTCTTCTCAGGACTTCATGGTATGCTTAAATTTTATTCATACACTCCAAATTTAAAGAAAGTTTCTGTGCCAATTTAACAAAACTGACTTATGTACTAGTATTAGTTACTTTGTACATAATAAAAGGACCTTAAATCTTTCAACACTTAATTGAGTGTTTATGTAGGTAAAATTGTGTAGAAACTTTTATAAATCTTACTTCTGCTATATCTTTAGTAAAAAAAAAAATATTCAGCAAGAGGCAGTTAAACCTTCATTTCAGTATATTATAATGATTATGGAATTGTCCCCTGTAACTCTAAATTGTATTATCTTTGATAAAATACACATTAATGGCAATGAGTATATGGTATTATGCACATAACTGAACCATATTATATATATGTATATAATCTTTATGGTGTGAGTGTAAACTAGCCTAATCAGAGTTAGTTCTTTGTAGAAAATGAACTTATGCATCATAGATTTGGATTTGAATTTATTTTTTATTCTTAAATTAAGCCTTCTTTCAGTTATTTATATTTATTGATTTGTACATGCAATTATCATATTGTAGGTCAATACAACTGACAATACTTCCACACTTACAATTCGGGAAGTCTATTTAGAAGACAGTGGCATATTCAGTGTTAAGGCAGAAAATAGAGGAGGCACTGCTAAATCATCTAGCAATTTGGTGGTTGAAGGTATGATGAGGTGTTAAATTTAATTAGAGTTTTAGTTTTATTGATAATTATCATCAGAGCATATGTGGTAACTTTTCAACATGTAATATCAATCTGGTGTGTTATATTTGAGTTCTATTTGTTCTATAAATAAAGATTACTGAATTAGATTACAACATTAAACAAATTTCAAAAATTTGAATATCAGAAAACTAGTTTGTTATTCTATTTTGAATAGGAAGACAAGTATAAGGCTAAGCTATTATAAAAATTCTTAAAGTGCATTATTAAATGTAAAGTAGCATTGATGCGATTAGAGGTTATACAGGCTGTTGAGGTGTGCTTTTTCTTTGGAATATCATATGAAAAATCTCCTCATCAGTAGATGTTGAATGATATTTGAAAGTGACTGTGAATTTTTCTCCATTTTGGTATTCCCTAACACTGATGAATTACTTTACATTCTATGTTTATTGCAATGTGGAATATCTTGATTTAAATACTTCCTTGCCAGGTGGTAAGGGTGCTCGACTCACAATCTGAGGGTCGTGGGTTCAAATACCCGTCCTGCCAAACATGCTCGCCCTTTCAGCCGTGGGGGCGTTATAATGTGATGGTCAATCCCACTATTCATTGGTAAAAGAGTAGCCCAAGAGTTGGCGATGATTAGCTGCCTTCCCTCTAGTCTTACAATGCTAAATTAGGGAGACGGCTAGCACAGATAGCCCTTGTGTAGCTTTGCGCAAATTCAAAAGCAAAAAAACAAAATACTTATTCTAAGAAAATTTACAACACATATTTATGACAGTTACAAAGAATGTAAGAACCTGAAAGCTAGCAAATCACATAACCAGTAATATCAAGTGTATGAAGAAACTTCTTAACTTGATTATAATAAGGAAGACTTACATGAGAAAAAGATAGAATTATAAAAGTAGTTAAATCAAAAATAAAGAATTCTTCTAAGTGAAAGTTTTTGGAAGAGGTGTCAACCTTCACTGATCCTGTACAAAGAAATGTCCTTTACCAGTAGTGACAAATAGATTTAGTATTTTTCTAGTTTTTTCTTGTGGTTTTGTGGTTTTCTGAATTTTGAACATGACTTTCTTCCAGAGAGGAAAGAGGAAAAAAGGGGCCTTGTACCTCCAAGTTTCACTAAAACACTCCAGGAATCCTCTGCCAAGTCTGGTCAGTTGGTACGGCTAGATGCTCGTGTTTTTGGATCCAAACCATTAGACATATACTGGCTAAAGGTGAGTTTATAATTCACTCAATATTTATGAAAATATGCCATTTAATAGTGATGAGTATACTTAGAAAGATTACATTTGTCTTAATGAATGTTTACTTCTAGTAATTGAAAAAATATTGAAGTTAAATTATTCCTTTCTTCACATGATGTTCAACATAGCTTAGAATAAAGAAACAAAATATCAAGTGATTGTAATTTGAAAACGTGATTTAGCCTAATATAATAAACAATTTTACACAAAGTTTAAAGATTTGCAGGCTAGTATTCTTTACTGGAAAACAAATAGTTTGTTTATAAAAAAGCTATTGAACAACTACCTTAAAATTACAAAGCAACTGTCTGCTTGAGATATTGTGCTGTTCCAAACAAATGGAAAAAAAAGTTTTTCATTTTGCTATTACAGTTGTTTAATTTCTTAAGTTAATAATTAAACACCTAGTTTGATCCTTAATTTAAAAAATCAAATTTTTGAACTTTGATAATGGGACCTCACTTATATTAAAATTTGCACTATATCTATTACTGTTAGCTCTAAATTCTAAATAACTCACCTAGATTGATGATAGAAATTATCACTCAGTGAACTTTTCATGACTTTAAAAAATGACCTAGATTACTTTTTGTTAACATACACAAGCACTTTTATGCTTTTTCATTCTCAAAGATTTTAAGACTAATTGAACATGAATAATATTTTTGCAGAATGGAAAGAAAGTGCTTCCTGACATAACCCACAAGATGCTAGAAGAAGAGGATTTGTGCACACTATTAATTCTCGAAGCTGCTCCTGAAGATACTGGTACTTATGAGTGTGTAGCTCTCAATAAAGCAGGAGAAGCTCGCTGCCAAGCCCAAGTAAACGTTGAAGGTAACTGTCCAGTTGTTTTAAAAATATTGCAAACATGGATATTGCGTTAGTTAAGAATACTGTACTTTTTCTACAGCTTAAACTCAATGTCAACCAAAATGAAAAAAGAGTTTAAATAAAAGTTACTTTTACATGTGTTCCTTAGTTTTTTTTATAACTGTGAAAGATTGACAAGGTAGGAGTCATCTTCTCCTAAGAGAATTTTATTTTTATAACAGTGTTTGGCCTTTGGAATGGGTTGCTTTTAGATGTGTTGGATGTAGCTAATTTAAAGGAAGGCTTCTTAAATATTTAAATGATAAAGGCTGGCTTTGAGTATTTTATTTTCATTTTAAAGTTTAGTTTAGTGGTGGGATGGCCTAGGTCAACAGGTCTCTTGTAATCCTTAAGTTATAATAAAGTACTCAAAATTATGATCATATTGATAAGTGATATTTTAGGCATTGTGTGAAATTACAAATTTGTTTTTAAGTCATTCTTTTATTGTTGTCTTTGATGTTACATATGTTTGGAGATTATTTGGGTTTAGGAGTTGAGATCAATGTCATGTTTACTTACAAAAATGTAAATTAATCATGCAGCTCGCATCTGTGACTTTCAAAACATTTGTCTAAAATTATCTAAATGTGCATCTTCTTAATATAATATTCTCTCTATTTTTGATTGTTGTTTAGTGCAAAGTTACACAATAGGCTGTTATCTGTGCTGTGCACACTATGGGTGTTGAAACCCAGTTATTAGCTAGCCACTGGGGGTATTAAGAAAATAATTATCCTGTTATTTTCACTCTTTCTGATATTCTTACTGATATTTCGACTTATAGTTTTTATATTTATTATAAATAATTGTGTTTTCAGAAAAACATTGGTTAAATTTACATTATATATATATTTTTTTTTTCCACAAAATTTATTGCAAATTTGGTAGATTTTATATAATCTTTCTCATTTACTTTTAAGTTATGATTATTTGTAAGTTTGAGTAATGTTAGGGAACGTTTTTGGTTATTATTAGGTTGTCAAGAAATTAATGTCACTTTTTTTTTTAGACGTAAAAATCCAAACAACTTATATATCAAAACAAAACATTTTTTAAATGAAATAGTCTCCATTCTTATTGATGATGCTTTTCCGTCTTACAATTAGGTTGTTAATGCCCTAATTAAAGAAATCACTTAGCTCTGAAGCAAAAAACATGTCGATGTCCTCTTTAACACCTTCCTCATTTGCATATGTTTTTCCATTAAGATGTGGTTCAGCAAATGAAAAAGAAGGTAATCTGATGGTGCCATATCTGGAGAATATGGTGGGTGGGGGAGAACTTCCCAACCCAACTACATAATCTTGTGTTGTGTCAAACATGCCACATGTGGAAGTGCATTGTCGTGAAGAAGAAGAACGTCTCTCCGATTGACGAGTGAAGGGCGTTGCTAATGAAAAGCTTTATTTAAACATTCCAGTTGCTGACTATAGATCTCTGCATTGACAGTTTGCTGTGGATTGAGGAGTTTGATATGAATTACTCCTTTAATGTCCCAACAAATGCAAAGCATCACTTTCTGCAGATGGAGTCCAGCCAAGTTTTGGGGTCAGAAGTGGTTTTTGTCTGGGACTGAGCCATTGTTTTTGGTGTTTGATATTCGCATAGTGAATCCATTTTTCATCACCAGTGACAATTTTGTCCAAAAATGGCTCACGTGCATTATGCGCCAGAAGAGACAAAACAACGTTTACACGTTGAAAATGATGATCATGGGAGAGTTTGTGAGGCACCCAAACACCTTCTCTATGGAGTTTTCCCATATTTCTTAGATGTTTACATATTGTTTCATGAGAGATATGCAATTTCAGGGCCATATCACGAGTTTGTTGCCTTGGGTTGGACTTCAGAGCATCATTATCAATTCCAACATGTCAGCCCCTGCCATCACAGTTTTTAAGGCTAAAGTCACCTGAACGAAATTTGCTGAACCATCGTTGACACTTACGAATATTCAAAACATTTCCATAAACTTCTTTGATATTCTTTCTGGCTACAGAGGCATTGTTTTCCTTCTTGTATTCAAACAGAATTACATGCTGAATGTGTATCTCATCTGTGCCATCACTATAAGGGATTATAGTAAACAAACCTTTACACATTATATAGGATACACTAATATGACGTTTAGGCAGTTTGTTTAACTATAATATGTGCGGTACGTTTTTTTTTGGGGGGAGTAATGAAAGTGTTCCAAAATGTGACATTAATTTTTTGACGACCTAATACATACATATATCTGAAATTAGTATATTTTGAACAAGCTGTGAAGTAGTATGATTGCAACACTGGGATTTTTTTACTTTAAGCTAATGAAATTTCAGATCAAAAACACTAATAGTTAAAATAACCTCTTATTTTAGCTACTGTTCCTAAAGATAAACCCATTTCACCAAAAGAGGCACCAAAAGAAGTCAAAGCACCTGAACTCTTGGAGCCATTAAAACCTGTAACAGTGAACGAAGGACAGCCAGCAGTTTTTAAATGTCGGATCTCGGGATCACCAGGTTAGTCGCTAACTAAACAACTATATAAAAATATAATATTGAGTCTTCTGCTAAAATGGACAAAATATGAAAATAAAATCCACAGAAAAAGGAGATATTTGGTCAATGTTTTGGAGAAATAATGCTCACAGTAATTTTTTATGAAGTTCTGATGAATTTCTTGTAATTAAGAGAGTGATAAAATTTCCTATTTTAATCTTATTTAATAAGATATATAAAAACTTTCTGTTATGATGCAGCTCATTTATTTTAAATAAAAATATAAATACTTTATGATAATTGTGTTGAGGGATTTGTCAGGTTTAGTAGCATATATGATTACCTAAGTCTAATTACGAATTAGTTTCCTTTTTTTAATAACTAAATGCTAATTAATAATTAGTTTCTCTCCTACATTTCAACTGCAAATCTACTTACATTTTCTGTATTGGTAGTGGTTGGGAATTGATCTTGAGTTGTTCTGATCAAAATCTGATGCACTATCTGCTCAACTGTCTCCCCCAATGTCTAATGCACTAGATTTCCATCAAGAATAAATATGACAGCAATTGCTATCTGATCATCACAACTTTATTGTAAATACTTACTATTTAGGGGTTATTAACCTTTGTGGTTCCTTGAGTCTAATTATTAACTTATAGCCTTTTTTTGATAACTAGATACTAATTTCTAATTAGTTTTTATACTACCTTTCAGCTGCTATTCTTCTTCCATTTTCAGGGAAATCCTGAGAAGAACTATTTCTGTGTTGGTAGTGACCAAGATTTGGTCCTGGGTCTTCTTGATGGAAGTCTAGTGCATTAGACATTGGGGAGAGACAGTTGAGCTGATAATGCATAAGACTTTGATCAGAAAGACTCAGAATCAATTCCTAGCCACTGCCAATACAGAAAATGTTAGTAGATTTGTAGTTGAATTGTAAGAGAGAAACTAATTAGTAATTAGCATTTAATTCCATCCTTAATCGTTACATCAGAGTGACAACAACTATTGCAATTAGACTTGTTGTTCAAACATGGATCAGTAAAACAGGCTTTTTATGATGAAAGATTTATTCCCTTATTATGTTTTTTACAAAAACTGATGTCACGGATCTCTGAAATTTTACATGTTGTTTCTGACTCTCAAAATGTATAGAATAAAGTATAGTGTATGTGACCAATCATGATAATATGTCAGTTTATATATTATTTGAGTGTATCGGTTAATTATAGGATGATTTAAAATTGTTTTATTTCAAAATGTAGGATTTAAGTAGAGTACAAACTATTATATACTGTGTATAAAATAAATTTTATAAGTATTTCACAAAAGTTTTTCCTTTAATTCTTTACTCGACAGCACCACGAGGAAAGTGGTTCCGAGGAGATACCTTGATCAAACAGTCTCGCTACTTTTGCATGTCAGTTGAGAAAGATGTCTACTCTCTGCGGATCTCTGAAGCTTTTCCAGAAGACAAGGGTGTCTATAAATGTGTAGCTGCTAATTCTACCGGGACAGTTTCCACAAGTGCTAACTTAAACGTTATTGGTAGGCATATCACTGTTTTTATTTTATACTTCAAACCTTATGAATTACACTTATATGTATTGATAGAATTTCTAAGAGATTAGTGCTAGCAAAAATCTGTATTTGTACAAGTATACTCATATGGTTTTTATTAAGATGAGAATATATAGGAATGGGCTAAACTTTGTATTTTGGGTGAAAGCCTACATGTTTAGTAAACATATATCTTTAAGATTGAATATTATCAACACCTCTCCAGTCATTACACACAACTTGCAGTAGTATTATGTGATTGTTTCTCTAAGTACTAAGTATTTAAATGATGTAGTTTCCCTGAGCGTTGAGTGGCTCTCTACACCATCATGTTTGGCATTATTTGGGTCCTCCACTTCTTTTGATAATCTTTCATATATTCATGATATGAGTTGCTACTAATTTATTTATCTGATAGATGCTGTGATCATAGTTTTTACGAAAAGCAGCTAAAGCCTTTGAAAATCAGTAGAATTTATAATTTTACATGTGATATTTCACCATTATGTTTCATAAGGTCACTGAGTTTACTGCTGACTATCTGCAGTTAACTTTCTTACTTACTGCTGATATTTTTAATTAACCACCTATCTTAGGGATAGTATTAATTTAAGGGACAATTTTTTTTACATTTCATCTATATATAGCTCCAGAAGTGGTAGAAGTTCCTCCATCCTTAAGTCCACTAGCTGACCTCACAATACCTGAAGGATCCCCAGCAAGGTTTGTTACAAGTGTAACTGGAGTTCCTACTCCTCAGATTGTCTGGTATAAAGAAGGGACCATGATCAAGCCATCAAGAGATTTTCAGGTAATTGTATAACTTTAAGTTTTTCATTTCTTTCAGTTAAAATTAATCTTGTGTTTTGAAACACTTTGAAAATTACTCAATTTGTATTTGCATTTTTTTTTTATTCCAATAGATTTTCTAAAGTTTTTTAATAAATTCACAACCATAGTATTATAACTTAAGATGAAAAGACTATGTTTCATGAAATGAAATTTCAACTCATAATAAGATTTTGCTTTATAATTTGCTGTTATTTTAATTATACATTTTGAACTCCCAAGACTTCTGTTTGCATCCCTACAGTACTTCTGCAGGCCTCAAAAGTACATATCTGCTAATACAAGGCCTTCAGAATCATATATTCAACAAATTTCGAAATTGTTAAAATGGAAATTGTAAAACAAGTAAAATGAAAAGTGCATTATATGACTTGAACAAGGGACATATTTATTGTTGAAGACAATTAATTGTGATACTTTTTGTTTTAAACTGGTCCATGTATTTCTTCTATTTTCAGTTTTTAAACAGAACACAGCATTATTGTATTTTTTACTAACAACACTGTACCTGAGACATTGTATATGTTTCTTTTCACATTTAGATGGCTCAAGACACTGGTTCATGTTCACTGGTAATTCGACAAACTTATCCAGAAGACGAGGGCGTCTATATCTGCAGAGCCACCAATACCAGTGGGCAAGCAGAAACTTCTGCTCGTTTGACAGTTGAAAGTAAGCACTAGAGTGCTTGTGTTCCCGATCCCAGAATCTTATTTTAGTGCTTCTTAGCTTGCACGTCAGAAATAACATAACATTGCCTGACATTTGTAATGGAAACTGAATAATAACTGAATTCATAACTATGAAATAACTTCCAAAATAGAGATGGACTACTGATAGCCAAATGCAAAAGTTTTTGTGTTTTTGAATGTTTTTTATTTTGTTATTGGATTGTTTCTCTTTGTTTGTGTCTATAAAACATTACATCAATTTTGTTTAGTGTTTGCATGTATTTGTTTCATGTGGCTTAATGTTTTTATTTTAGTATTTTGAAAGTTATTAGTGTTGTTGCTAATTTGTTCCTATCCTAAATTCTGCTTTAGTGATTAAAATATTACTATGTGAATTGCAATACTAAACCTGCTCAGCAAGTTAAGTCCCTTGTAACATTAAAAACATCATATATCCAACACGTCATCTAATATAATATGATGGTATAACATAACGAGTTTTTGCTGTATGTTTTCTTATAGTATTTGTTAAATTGATCAACCTTTTTGTATGTTTTAAATACATGAAATCAACCCGGAACAACCAAAGCAACGAATTTAAAGAATGCGTTTATTTAAATTGACAACTGTTAAAAAATGAAGATTAAAGTCGTTAAACCTTGTTGTTTTGGTTTATGTAATCTGTTCAGTAAATTAATTTTTTATATCTGAAAAGATGCAACAATATCGAAAAATTGAAGAAATTCATAAAGTAATTGTACGATTTCTGAAGTACTATTAAATATGTTTTTAAAATTAACGATTTTTCCCATCGTGTCAATTTACTGTTGCATGACTTGTTTAATAGAAATTCCTTTTTTTGTTCAATATGTTCAGATCCCATGCATGTTTTGTATTACCAGCGAAGATAACAGTAAATATTCTGTGGAATTTTACTGCATATTAATAATGTAGATACAATGAAAATAATTTCATCTAAACGATGGGCATTTAAATTTAAAACATTATTTAGTTTACAAAAGTTTCTGTTTTTATAGTTTTTCGAGCATCATATTGTTCCTTTTATTTATTGCACGTAGAGAATATTTATTTCGTGTAGCAAGTTGTTGAACGTAAATATCAACTTGGGTCTGCCTGTAACACGTAAAAGACACTATTAATATTATTAGAACTTGTTTAATATATCAATATTATTTACCTGTATATAAAAAGGAAAACGGGTTTTCCTGTTAAAAAATGTGTTCGTTACTATATGACACTTGATATTTCAGGCCTAATGTGGCCCCATTTCCTAATTTAGAAAACCAGCCGGGACCCGAAATGCTTTTCTGTCAAACGACAAAAATAGATCAGTCTTTTCCTGATTTGGTCTTGCGAATGGGGGGCTGGGTATCTAGTTCATTCCCAGAATGCCCCGAGAAAGCATATCAGCTTGCAAGCACTTCCATGCTAACGCCTAACTTTAAGTTTCTTTACCAACGAAGACAGATGTTCGTGTTTATTGTTACAGAACAGACCCAGTTTGAAAAGCTTCACCTTTCCCATTGTCTCTCGTATCCGTTTAATTCATTCATTTGTCAAAATTTTAACATGATAGGCGAAAACCCATTAGTGACTTTTTTTTCCGCTATACTTGAGACACTGTGGGAGGTAACCTGTATCGATTTATACCATTATTGTTGTCACAAAATTTGTATCGTTATAGAAATGTCAATAAAGTTTTCGCTGTTGTTGAAAATTGTTTTTCCCCAACATTTTGTGTCCTCGATAAAAGTATTTGTCAATTATAGATTGAAGATTTTGTCTTTAAATAATGCTCATAACAAACTGTAAAGTCTTCTAATCTTAGTTGATTTTGATGTATAATAAGTAAATTGTGAGCCATCGAGTAGAAAATTTGTCCTTCCGAACAAATTTTTAAGTATTTTAATTCCATAGTCAATAGTTACTTGAAACAAAATAACTTTAAAAATAGAAGAATTACGCGAACAAACATTAGATTCTTGAAATGATGTGAAAATGTTTGGAATGTGTTTTATGTTGTTTCTATTTCACTTAATCGAGGTCGCACAGACCTTCTAAAGTTAGGATCATGATATATAACAAAGTGATTATTATTGTAGAAGTTCCATCTATAGAATATTATTTTTTAGGCTACTTAAGAACCTTCTGGTAAAAAGCGAGATAACACTCAAGTAGACTGGCATGTCTGAGACTCGTGTTAAAACCACGTTAGGCTGGATAATTTTTATAATGTTTGGAAAACTTTAACTTAATCAAGTAGACTATTTAAATGTGTTGTATACTTGTCATGTGTAGGTCTTGTTTTGTTGTTGAAAATATTTTTCTAAGTACTAAGTTTTATGTAGTTACATTTACTTTGAATAATTAATTCATTTAGTATTATTAAATAAACATAATTCATTAATACTGCCAAAAAATAAACATTTCTCACGCTCTCATGATGGGCTACATAAACAATCTAAAATGAACAACTCGCACAGAATGAAATTTGTATCTGTTTGTAAGATAAAAGTGTAAAGTTGCTCGATTATCATTATCCGTGCAATGTGATAAATGTGCAGTCAGTAATAAATTATGTCGCAAAACATTAACATAAGTCGCAAAAACACATTAGTTTGAATGAGAAAAATGCATATTTAATTTGGCGTGTTTTTGAACTATTATAGCAAAACTAATCAAATGGTTGAAGAAAAAAAGTTTCATAAAAAAATTAGCATTTTTGTACTTTCAAATAACATCAGACGAGCCAAATTAAAAAGGAAAATAAACTGCTGACTAACACAAATTTTATTACGAATATTTATTATTAGGCAAAATTGTTTCAAATGCTTCGTCATTTTTCATCATTTAAAATCGTAAAATTAAATGAAATAAAAATATATAATCACAGTCGGTTTACATAGTACATCAGTGTTATTAATAACTTCAAGACAGAAAAAATAAGCTGCTATGTATATATATATATATACATTCTTTCAAGCAAAGGAATACATTTCATGTAAAAACAACCACTCAATTAACTCACACGAAAAACATTATGTTAAAATAGAGAAACTGTATAGAGCATTCGACTATTAAATCACATTTTTGTTAGTCCTAATAGGGTTTGGAGTATTTTCAATATGTTTTATCTCAAAATAAACAATACTAAAAAAATGATAGCAATTGTGCTCCGCATTTGACCGTAAGTGTCAAATGATTTTTAGTTTCAAAACGGTGTTACAACGAAATATTGGCTGAAACATCGGAATAACTGGTGAAATATTATTATTGACAGCACATAGCTTGCTGGTACATACGTTGCTCATAAACTTTCATTTTGTGTAACCACAGTCTACCCATATAATCAATTATTTGTATAATTCATCGAGCTTTTATGGATAATATGACGTAACGTATGGTATTTTTAGGCGTGTTTTTTTTCCAAAATTTATGGAGATAAGGAATTTTTGTTACGTCTGTACAAAAGTATAAATTATACTTAATTTACGAAAGTCTGATAAGAAATTAAAGCATTTGAAAATTATCAATTCGAACATGATGATTAAACATGCCAAATGTGTAAACATTATGAATTAAAAACACTCGCAACGTCAAACAATGACTTTATTGTGTTAAAAATGTGGCCTAACATCACAAAATTCGCCATTTCAATCAAACTAGATGTAATAGAACAATAAAAATAACAGGGCACACATTAAGGATTGCTGTCTTATCCAAGAACGTTCTATAATAGAGTGACTCTGCAATAAAGACATTTCAAAGGTAACAAAATTCGTACCTTCACTCGAAATTGGAGACTCTTTGTATGGTGGGTGGGCTTAGCTGATTCAAATTACTAAATCGTTAGTCAGCATATTAGAAACCCCATGAGAAATAGATAGCAAATAATTTAACCTGATTCATCATGTGCATATGAAGATTAAACGATATGTACACCAAACTTCAAAATCAAGTTTACAACTTAGGATTACAGTATTGTGAAACTTTAACAACACAATTTTAGCTTTGATGTTAAGCTACGTCTGCGTAACATTCACAAATTCTTTGTAGTTATAAGCAACACTGATCCGCGATTCTTTAATGAAAACAGCTGCAATGATGGTAAATTATTCTATCAATGCATCCTGAATACGGAAACATAAGGATATAAAAAACGTAGCTCCTTCTAAAACATTCACGGTCATGGATAACGACCTAAGTTGTATAAAAGATACATTTACTGTGATGTTTTTCTAAAGAAAATATATATATATCAATCCCAGCCTTTCTTGAAATCACAATCTTCGAATTTGTTGGCTATTAATAATATAAATATCAACCTTCTATAAATAGATTGAATTTAGATGTATTTTTTAGAATATGAAACATTTACAAACATATATATATATATATATACATTTTTCTAAGAAAAACCATCTCAACCTGAAGAGATGAAAGCTCCAGGTGTGACAAAAGCACCCACTGCTCCTAAAGAACCTTTCTGGAAACAAAAGGAAAAGAAGAAGCTCCCAGCAGATGAACAGGCCATCCCACCTAAATTTATCAAGAAACTAAAGCCACTAACGGTTAACGAGGGGAAAAAGGTTATATTTGAGTGTAAGGTGGAGGGGTACCCTCCACCAGAACTCACCTGGTATTTTAATGAACGTCCAGTACAGCCGTCAAAGGACTTCAAGATGACCCATAAGAAAGATGGCACGGCGATGATGGAAGTTAAACAAGTGAGTCCCGATGACTCTGGAACGTATACCTGTAAGGCAATCAATAAAGCAGGGGAAGACACAACTACCTCTGAACTTACTGTCAAAGGTAATTAAGTGTTAAATATATTTTAAGATGTCAGTACTTTTTTCTTCTAATTCTCTTCCTTGATGTCTCTAAATAACTTTCACGTACGAACATCCAAATTCTAACTCTTGATGACCATCAAAGTTCTTCCGTAAACACTGAAAATAAGTTTTGGAGTCTTTCAAGTGCTTCTAATTTGCAGAAATAAATCTCCTTTTCGAGGTGTTTTCAATAAACAAAGCTATATACAACGCAGACACCGTATCTCTTGGCAGTATTTTAAGTTATTGTTAATTACAAAGATTAATATTTTACACCTTTCTAGCACTTCATGGGATCTTTCTCTGCTAATCCTTGAATTTGATAACGTTTCAAATTCTAATTTCTGGTAGCACTTTAAGTAGCTGCCACTTCCGTGCATCATGCTTTTCCCTGTCATACATGTTTTTTAAAGCAGAGCTGAATCGTTCTTCTGAATCGTAATTTATACGCATAATAAAAAACAATTTACTACTGATTCCATTTAACTGTCCAAATAAAACTGAAATATTTCCCACTTTTCCCATTTTCAACAATTAATAAGAGTTCTCCAAGCAAAGGAAATATTTTAAAAACTGTCCAACAGGCTTAGGCTCGTAGACTCGTTTCATAACCATCACAAGCTATAATTGTAAACTTCCTGACGAAGTGATGAAAACAGAGACCGAATGGGGATTCTAACTTGTATTCTTGTCTGTCGGGTTGTTACTTCAGTGATCCAAGTTATTAGTCCCAAAAAATGGGAGACTCAGGACTGCAGCATTCAATAGGTTAACAATAATAGCACTTACCCAGTAAGTATAGATACAAGTTTCAGTTCTTCATGATTTCATTTTTTGATTTCTTTAAAACTTTCACAAATTGTTCAAAACGATTACAGATGACCATTTTCACGTGCAATTCGAGAGGAAGGACTAATGTGCCACTTACGCTCTTGCCTAACCGAAATACTTTGTACAGAATGTTGTCGCTAGTAAGCATGTTAGACTCGGTATGATAGAAAAAAGCATCGACTTACAAATTTCCTGATAATCCAAACCTCCTATTCGCTTTACTGGTGATAAGACACTAGGTGCGGTGAGTTACCATACTAAAAATAACGTCAACCTCATCTTACCCGTCACTAAACATAGCTGTCTGGGTTAGAGAATTCTCCTCAAGAAGGGTTCTAACACTGTTGTGACGTTAATAACCCCACAGTGCACGGGATCAATGGGGATGAGATATTTTACGGTGTACGTAAATTTATAACATTCATACACTGGTAGTTTAAAGCAGCAAAGAAAGATAAATATTTATATTATCCAGATACTTGTTTATTTTAACTTAACTACAATAAACACAAGCGTAGTGTATTTTTTCTTCTTATTCATGAACGTATGAGTTGTTTTCTCATGATGATTTGGTTAAACTCAAATAGTCTCTTTCAGGATTTACCAAGCCTCTAAAGGCTTTAGCCTGGTTGATATCTTATTTACAGGCTATCGCCTCTTTGTAGACGTGTTTTATACTAATCACAAGTATATGTGTGTGTGTTTTTTTTTAACAAATCATAAATGTCACGAGATGCCGATGGTTAGTTAAGATATACATATTTTTCATAACTTTAAAGTCTGAGGCAAATGATTCACTCTTTACTTTAAATGTTTTTCGCTCTGTTTTTATTCGGCATTTACTTATCCGGTATTTATTTTATTTAATTATTTCTAAAAACCTAAAAGGAAAACAAAAAATATCTGTTAAGCTAAATAGGCTTTCATTGCTTGGAATAGCAACTGCTGTCCTCACTATCAATTTATTTTGTTGTTTCGACCAATTCTAAAATTTGAGAGATGTATCCGCTGTCCAGTAGATGTAAAGTTTACAGGAAAAGAGTTTAGCAATGCTACTGAAGTGACAATTGTTAAGTTAATGTTTTGTTCTAGAACATATTGTTCATTTTAAAAACACGAACATAACGCTAAGAACAAAATCACACGATTTTTTCCTCAAAATGTAATGAAAACTGTTTTTGCTGGAAACCTCTCGAAAATCACAATTATTCTGGATTTTACAAATTTCTTATTGAAATTAAATAAAAAGTAACAACAGTACTCTATTGTTCACGTCTCAACATAGCTTGTAACATAACAAATGGCTTATTTGACCTTTAGTACATAAACATTTTATGTGGACCTACTTAGGTTGTTTCTCTGCATACAAAGTAAACAAACAAACAAATAAAAACATCAACTGTAAGAAACATTGCCACAACTCAGGATCATCCATAACAAGCCCCCACCCCCCAGTGGCACAGCGGTGTGTCTGCGGACTTACAACGCTAGAATTCGGGTTACGATACGCGTGGTGGGCAGAGCACAAATAGCTCTTTGTGTTGCTTTGTGCTTAATTACAAAACAAACAAACATCTATAACAAACGTTACCACAATGAAAAATCAACTGTAAAAAACATTGCCACGATGCAGGATCATACATAACAAACATTACTACAATGTATACTCAACTGAAAAAAACATTGCCACAATGCAGGATCATACATAACAAACATTACTACAATGTAAAATCAACTGAAAAAAACATTGCCACAATGCAGGATCAACCATAACAAACATTACCACAATGGAAAATGAACTGTAAGAAACATTGCCACAATGCAGGATCAACCATAAGAAACATTGCCTCAATGAAGGATCAACCATAAGAAACATTGCCTAAGTGAAGGATCAACCATAAGAAACATTAACACACTAAAGATCAACCATAAGATTCTTCCGAAGAGCGTCGACCAATATAGTAATCAGAGCTAGAACATTTCAAAATAAATTTCTGTTCCTCATCAATAACACTGCGTACAATTATAATGAAACATCGTTGTTCTCGATGAATTGTTCTTAATCGGCTTAACCTTCTCAGTAATTGATTTTTATAATTAATTGTGTTAATGATCCTCGTGGTTGATCTTTCATTTTGGTGATATCTCTCATAGTTGATCCTTCACTGTGGAAATATTTCTTATGGTTAATCTTTCATTGTGGTAATGTCTACTCAAGTTAGAGTCTGAAACGCCATCCATTGTAAGAACACAATAATTAGTATTCCACAATATCTTCTTGTCATACAAGGAACAAAGTAACCTTGTAATCTTTTAAATGGTTTCCATGTTGGTCTCTCGCTATTTTGTATATTAACTCGTAAGATTACGAAGAGAAGGTAAATATGATTGATGTTAATTTCAGAGTGTTGTTTGTCTTGCAACATGTTTGGTGCTATTTACAATGCTGTAGTTTCACATAGTGATTACTTGTATCTTCTTACTCTGTTGTTTAACTTTCTTACAGTATTATCATTCACAAATATGATTTCCCAATTCATTATTTTTTAGCATATCACCTTTATTAACTGGTTAAACTATGCTCACGACAAAACGTCCGTTTCTTAAAAGTATCTAACTTTTCTATTTAGTGCACTATGTTTCATTCTTTGGTGTTCAAAGATTCTCCTGGAGTATAAAGTCATTAATGGCCACACATAATTTGATATCTATCGCGTGAGCTTCTTTTAGATACACTTCCTTGTTGTAATTCCCACTTTAAAACAGCGGGAAAAGTCAGCATAAGAATTGGCTACTAGACAACAGGTTCTTGAGAAATGTCTGCTTGTATTCACATTCCAAGAGCGTACAAGAGCTTCGATGGGTTAGTGATCTGACAGTATGATTTGTTTCTTTTAGATAACTTCCTGTCTCGACCCACACCACCACCATTATCAAGCAATCACTACTCTCCTCCTTGTTGTGTTCTGATATGTACTAGTCGTGTATTGAGAGATATGTAAAAAAAAAAGAAAGATGTTGACTTTTTTTTTCATGCGCCACGTTCCTGAAGTATCTCAAGTTCATGGAAAGCTATTGTAACATGAACCTTAAGATATTCCAACGTTTGCTTAGGACACTACTAAATATACATATAAAAACACTCTTTGGTTTTCCATTTTAAGGACTAACTTTCAACTTATATATAGCATTGTTATATAATCTCATGTCCTAATTTTCTTAACGCAAGAAAAATAATAATGATAATAAAATATGCTAACGATGTGTGAGCTTTTCTAAAATAACTTTTAAAGCAAACCAATGCAACTTACCTGATTTCAGTTTTAATAGGTATTATTATGTGTTTAATTTGAAAGGGACAAGATAACAAACTCCACGTGTGTTTATATGAGACGTTTCCGTTCGTCTTGGGCCTAGCATGACCCAGTGATTAGGGCGTTCGACTCGCAATTTGCGGATCACGGATCATGTTCCATCACCGATCATGGCTTTATAATGTGACTATAAGTTCCACTATCCAAAAGTTGACGACGGGTGGTGCCTTCCTTCTAATCTATCACTTCAAAATTAGAGATGCCTAACAAAGATAGTCCTCTAGTAGCTTTGTGCGAAGGTCAACGAACATACAAACCATTCTCCATGATAATACACATTTAAACACTTTGTTTTGTTTCAGAAAAACATTTCTTTTCTATTATGTGTGTTTGTTGTTAGAGGAGGTGAAGACCAAATTGATTTGTGGTTTCGTTTAAGCCTTTTAAGCTTTAAGGGTCCATCCTGACGTTATAGAAATTAATAGTACTAAAGTCTGATGCCATATAATTCAAAAATTACCACAGTCTGATGTTAAAAAGCACTCATCTTTGCCATCCGGTGTTATAGGAATAAATATTTCAGTAATATATATTGTTACCATTAAGTGATAAAGAAATATTATTATGATCTGGTGTTATTAGAAACAAATATTACTAAAATCAAGTTTTATTAGAAACAAATATTACTAAAATCAAGTGTTATTAGAAACAAATATTACTAAAATCATGTGTTATAAAAACCCATATCGTTACAAACTGGTATTATGGAAACAAATATTATTACACTGTAGTATTACAGAACCAAATATTACTATTATCTTGTGTTATAGAATCCCCCCAATACCATATCATTACAATCTGATGTTATAGAAGCGAACAACATTATGAGTGGCAGTCTAGAAAAAATGTCATAAAAAAAAACTCTTAGAAATAAATTTCATTCAAGTTATATATATGTATATATATATTTAGTGTAACGCCTTTGTTATCAAAGTAGATCGTTTGGATGTTCAAGACAAAGCTTCACTTTAAAAGAGGTCCAGGAAAGTGTTTAATCCTCGTGATAAAATAAACAATAACCAAGGAATCAACAAACGAACTCTCAACCTTTAGCGGAATAAACGCCAAATCTTAATATAAAAATATAAATCTGCCTTGTATGGTGATTTATATTTTCATTTTTTGAATCTATTGTATCTTTTTTTTATCATTATAATTCTTCCGCTTTCATCAATGAAAACATCTGCGACCCCTTTAAGTGTCGGAATTATCACTTTATTTCTCAACCGCTTACTGAATGAAAACAAATGGATTTTTAAATAACTTGTAAACCCGAATTCACTTTATAGCAAGATACGCAAATCAAGAAACATGTCTACACTCTTTAGAATTGTTACTGCAAAAGCATAAAACAAAAATAAAATAAGAAAACGAAAAATGAACTGACTTAATTGAGCGTGGGAAATGTCTCTTAGTAAATTTCAACTTACCCTGACAGAAAGAATTCATACGCATTTCTTGTACCGTGCTTAGTAGTTGACCAAACAACATAATATTAATTCTCTGTGGTTCTTTTCTTAATGATCAATAATGTTTTAATACAAAATAAAATTATTAGAAATTGTTACAAGTTATCGGAATCACTTACCAAATATCATTAGTTTGGCATGATTTTTCACAGTTGTTTTTCATTATGTCTTTTGTTGTTGTTAACAATAACTGTCTTGCAGTTCCTTTATTTTCTTTGAAGGTATTGATTTATGTGACTCGAATACATCTAAAAAACTACTATTTAATTATTTTTTTTACAGAAAAAGGTGCTCCACCCAAGGTCCTTAAACCTTTAAAGCCAACGTCAGCAACAGAGGGCAAGCAGACGACCATACAATGTGTAGTAAAGGGAACTCCACCTCTGGACATCAAATGGTTTCACGAAAAACGCGAGATCCAGCCATCACGGGACTTTCAACCACAGTATAACCCAGAAACAGGAGTGGCTACTTTGACGATCCAAGAAGTATTTCCAGATGACCAAGGAAACTACACCTGCAAAGCCACTAATCCGTTTGGAACGGACCAGACAGTAGCGCCACTAATCGTCTCAGGTCAGTAGGAATGGAATAGCAGTATTCAAAGGTTTTTGTTTATCAAATCACGATGTTCCAAATTCTCCTTCTCAAAAAAAAAAAGAAAAAAAAAGAAAAGAAAAAGACAACAAAAACTGTATATATTTTCACAAGTACTATACTATATGGTTTGATTTTAGAAGAGTAATTCGTTTTTGTTTTTACTTTATGCTCAATATTCTTATTGAAACATATTATCTTTGAATAAAGTCGGTGCTCTACCACTGAGCTACCGATACGTCAGAGGTCCGGTCATGGAGTTTGTTTTTACCTTAATATCTATTATTAATTATTATGAAAAAGATAGTATTACTACTTCATGGTTTTACTAGCGGGATTTAAAAAAAACATGTAAGTAGTCAGACTTGTATGATATTACTAGACCATAACAACATAATCTAGTATGAGGATCATATTAATAGTGAGAAGTCTTATAAGTGAACATTAACAGGGAAGGTGATTTTTCAGTAGCAAAGTGCCCATTTAAACGGGAAATAGAGAATTGTGTATAATTATCAGGAAAAGTCGCTTTGAATAAAAATTGTCACAGTTAACATAGCAAATAAGATGTTGTCCCCAATTCTTGGTGAACCTCCACCCCCAAATTCAAATTTGATCCCCGCATATATGTTCTGGTAATTTGAACAGATAAATGGTGAAATGTATACAATTGTATTCGTGTGATAAATATTTTAAAATATTATTTAAAGTCTTTTTTGTAGGAATTTCAAAAATAAAATTTCTTTTTTTCAACAGAAGATATAGAATTTATAGAGAAGCTCGAGCTCCAGAATCCACCCCAGTTCACTAAACCTCTCCAGCCAATAACAGCACCTGGAGGAGAACCAGTAGAAATGAGTGTTGAAGTTATTGGGACCCCTGAGCCTACAATAACATGGTATAATTCATCATTTGAAAATTTGAACCTTAACTTGTGTTATTAGTATAAGTAATATGAAAATTAATACAGTGTTTTTATCGTGATTCATGATGTAATAGTGTACTTATTCTAAGAGAGCATGTTTCATTGAAAATGTGTCTGGAAAGAAAAACAATAACAACATAAGGAATAGCGCTGTGAAGGTTGTTCGGTTACAGAGTAACAGAACGAATATCTATTTTATATCGCTTGGTTCAATACTACATTGTTCTTCCAGCAATGGAAAAGTCTTACGTGCATAATAATATTAACTAGATGTACTTCCGCAGGGTCCCCGAAAGTGTTGTGTTTCAAGAGTAAATAAAACCAAAATTAATAAATATTTTTATTTCTTGCTTTTGAAGTTCATATGACATGCTATGTTGTAGGCTACAATATGCATAATTTTTCTCGTGATTCATGGCATACGCTTGTTTTATTGACCTCACGACAGTACAAACTGCAAGGTTAAGCGTCCCTTATGTGACGTCATTTTAATGTCTACTGACTGACTGACAGAAAACACACTACTGTATAGAAGTGCGAGTGGTTAAAACAGGTGACCCCACTAGGCGGCTTTCGGCCCTCTTTCGGAGAAATAAATATTAACCTAACAAATTAAGAAAGCAGTAACAAGAAAAAAACAAACAAACTTCAAAAATCTGAAAATATTGTTTTGCAAGTTTCCATCCGATATCTGTGTGAAGTATGGTTGCTAGTTTCTCCTGATTTAATTACTTGAAATACTAATATGAGATATTCTAACAAGACTTTAGAGAATAATGAGATGGTTGTTATAAAGGATTTACGCATCAACTATCAACGAGGAATATGTGGTACACAATAATTATTTTTTATGAAACTAGATACGGCATCTTTCATTAATGCTACTACATATAGGTATTTATTTCAATACAATTTCTTCCAAATATGAACAGTTTCCAAACATTTGTATTTCTTTGTCACACTATTTAAAAATAACTTAACATTTTGTGCCTATCTAACGAACTTACTTGTAAGTTTTCTGTAAGTAACAACAACAAAGTTGATAGTAAAAAGACAAAGTCTTCAATAAAAGTTACGCCTATACCCTGAAATAATTCGGGACAAGGGAACCTGCATTCACAGAACTAAACAGATTTACGATTATACCTCACAAAAATACCGTTATCGTTAAAATAAAAAGATACAGCCTTTCTAATACTGGACAAATGGTTACTTTTTATCATTAAAATTTACTTACAAAAGGGCAAACAATCATTACTTTTAAGTCAACTAAGTGATTCTTTTCAGTGACTACACAGCTTACGTGATTGTAAAACCATTGGCTTAAATATGTCACTGCTGTTTGTTTGCCTTTAATAAAACAATGAAATGACTGTTGTATATAATTAATGTATCTGAAACTTGGTTTTCATTAAGAGTAATTTTTTAACCTGTTTATAGATTGGGAGTTTCTGAAATTCGTAGGTTTGTTTGTTTCTAGGATGAAACTCAGAATGGTAACTTTGTAAAATTTTGTTTCCCACATGGTTAAGTTAAAAAGTGCTTTTTTTTTCATGTTGGTAAGTTTTAACTGTGATCATTAAATGTTTCGTAGGTTCTACAATGGGAAAGAGCTCAAACCTACCCGTGATTTTCAATTAAAGACAGAGGGCACTAAGTCCACTTTGCTAATTGTTGAGGTGTTTCCAGAGGACGCAGGGACGTACGAGGTTCGAGCTAAAAACACAGCAGGTCAAGCCACAACCATATCCAATCTTACAGTAGTTAGTAAGTATCCTGTAACTGTCTATCACTTATTTAGTTAACTTTACTTATAATGTGAATAATTAATCTTATAATAGCATTTGTTAACGAAAAACACGTGATATATCTTTAAGATTAATTAAAAAATTCAAACTGAAAGATGTGACTTACCTTTTTCGACTAAGGTTTAACCAACTCCAAACTAGATTAGAATTTAAATAACCAATTTACTGCCATATTAGAAAAAAAAAATAACATTCAACCACCCAGTGTGATAGCTTTGTATGGAGCAAAGAATTCTGACTATAACGTAGCGAAAACGATAATTAATAATAACAGTCGATTTTGAAATGATTATTTTTGATGACTTTAAAAACGCACCGATGCACGTACGACGTACTACAAATGATTTTATTAACTAAGCTGGTGAAGAATCTAAGTTGAAGTTAACTTTAAAATAAAGGTATGACTAATTAAAAATAGGTATAACATTACAAGAGTTTAACAATTTTTTTTTACGTATGGATTCTTTACAGTAGGTGTGTGTGACTTCTTGGCGATAAATTTCAACAATAAAAGGACAGTACACAATCTACATGTTTTAAAATAATATATTCAAAACAAGTCAAATGTATGTACAAAAAAATTGTTACATTATTGGTTATCACCGTTGTATCTAAGACACTGTTTTCTTGTCAAAAGTTCCACACAGGCAGGTTCAGTTACTTTAGAACTCAATTGACAAGACGAATTATTTATTCTCTCCTCTTTTATCACAATACGATAGTAGTATACTCACTTATGTTGCCTCGTGAGTTACCACAGTTGTATCCAGAATTCCAAATAATTATCTCCTTTTCGTCAAAGTCCACACAAGCTTGTTCAGTTACTTTAGAACACCCTTTGACAATACAAATTATTTTCTCTATCTCTGTTACTACAATACAAGCTGTGAAACTCACTTTAGAAATTGCCCGTTACAGCTAAATTTACACTCAGTCTAACTTAACTTTTACTTTCACTTTCACTAACTTCCTTTTTTATTGCGCTAACTTCTTGCGACTGAGGCCTAAAACTTTGTACAAACTACGAGACGTTATGATGTAACGTTATATGAGACATTATCATTTAAAGCAACCAGAAAAACTCAGAAGGTTTGACGTCAATTTACAGCAACTGAACTACACAACAAATCATTTCTAAACAGTTACATAAGCAAACCTGCGATAAATTATCGTTTCTAAAAATACTAAATTTAACACTCGCGCTTTATAACTATCTAAATCGTAACTGTCTTATTAAATTTAAATGCAAAAGTCGTGTACATCTAACAAATATTCACCCTTAACAAACATCAGATTGAGATGTGAACACTTGAAAGTTAACTGGAAAATGAGCATATGGCTGTTTAAAACTACACGTGTTTAACAAATCTTTTTTTTGCCACATTTCATATTTAGGAGTGAGCACTTGAAAGTTCGTTTCAGATCATGAATAAAAACAGCTTAACCACACATAAATATTAAATTTACCCAAACCCAAAGCTTGACGAGTTTGTCTGACGTGTTAAACATGAAATTATTCAACTTATTATTGCCACTCATCTGAGATTGACTTGCTCTATATGAAATGACTCTAATTGTTTTGGCCATACGTCTGGGTCTGATGCGCTAAACATGAAATGACTCAACGCGTTTCTGCCACATAATTGAGTGTCAACCATGACACGAACTAACTTTTCCTTTTCCATAGTTGAATTTAACGTGGCAGTTATGAAATAACATTTTATTTTTTTATTACATTTTCAATGTGAATTTAAAAAAAATATATTTCCGGGTTTTCTAAATAAACAGTTCTATTCACAATAGCCGAGGAAGAAGTCCCCAAAAAGCCACCCAAACCACCAACGTTCACCAAACCTCTCCAGTCTCAGCTTGTCCCGGAAGGAGAACCTGTGGTGATGGACGCAGAAGTTACAGCTGAGCCGGAAGCAACCTTCACTTGGCTCGCAAATAAGCGACCAATCAAACCGTCCAGAGACTTTCAGGTCACAAGCGAACACAACCGTACTACTCTCGTCATCAACGAGGTATTCCATGATGATGGAGGAGAATACACCTGTAAAGCAGAGAACGAAGCTGGAACATCTACTTCCACAGCCACATTGACTATAGAGAGTAAGTGAAAGAACTCAACTCAATGCATGTGTTCTATACATTCCCCTAGTAATCTCTAGTTGTTCCTTCTTATCCTGGACACAAATATTATTATTAGTTTTTATTATTTTAGGGTATTGGCTTACCATTGCTTGCTACCAGTTACATAAATATTAGCACATCATTAAAATTATTGTCGCACCGAGTCGCATAGAATACAATGAACTTATATAACACGACGTTTGGGAGCCAATGAACTAACTAAATTTAACAATTCAAAAATTTTAAATACGCTTACATTTATAATATAAGTATTTGTAAGATATTTCATATTACACTTATTTTTATTTATATATAATAAATAAAGATAAACAGTTCCTAAATGTAATAATATCGTTAAACGTGAGTTACACAGGAAAAGCCATCCTGTCATAAAGAGCTACATTCTCAGAGTTTTTCATGTTACACGTTAATCTGAAAAAACAACAACAAGATGAAACAGGCCTAGTAAAGTATTTGATATTCAATGAAAAGCGGGTGATATATAGTTTTCCTTCTGTGTTTGTAAAATGTATATTGTTTTTATATTACATTCCTCTTGGTGTATATTTCAATATGGGTTTTATACAATAATGTATACGAATTATTGCATTCCAGTACTTTCTGAGTCCAAATATTTCTTTTCATGAACTGCAAAGTGCTACAGTTTGTTTTTAACGAAAGGTCTATTTTTGATAATAATATTAGCTCAGGGACGACGTTTCGGCACAACTTGGCTTCATCAGGCTGCAAATGCAAGTTCGCCGAAACGTTTTTCCTCAATTAAATCTATCAAGGCAGTCTTTCCGTTTAAAGTAAACCCTAAGTCAATTGCTGCTAAATAAGATTTGAATAATTAATTATTTAAGGCTTTACAAAAGGTATCCAAGGAAATGTAACTGATGACTTTTGTATAAAATAGGTGAACCTGAAGAAGACAACGAAGCACCACAGTTTGTAGTTCAACTTACTCCTCAGACCGTGATGGATGGAGAAGAGGCTAAACTCTTTTGCTACGTTAGTATCCATCTCCAGTTGTCTTCAATCCTCAAGTCTCTATTAGTTCATCTAATTGCCGTTGTTCAAATCTTATTAGACATGGTCGTAATTTTGCAGAAAGATGTGTAACATTTCGGTTATTTTTCCATTTCAAAGAGTGAAATGCCCATTGACTCTAAAGTATTAGAGACAATCACTAAATATTTCAGACTGTCATATTAACCAGGCTGAAACATTCAATATAACTGTGCTAGGTTTGTTATGAAACGTATTTAACACACTTGAAAAACTGCGTAGTTTATATTGAAAGAACCGAGGGATTTCTTTTTGTGAGTGGGAAATAGAGTCTTTACTTATTATTAACATGATTGGCCAATTTAACTATTTTTAAATAATATATTTACAAGAAAAAAAATCTATATTATATCAAGTGCGAGTATTAAAGCTTGCATGATTAATGGAACATATTTAACATATGCTGTAGGTGACCGGAAAACCAACCCCTAAAATCACATGGTACCACAGTGATAGAGAGGTAAAGGAGAACAAGGATGTCTGGACTACTGTGCGTAAGGATGGCTACTGTGAACTCTTTATTTCCGAGGTTTTCCCAGAAGACATGGGGGAATATATTTGTAAAGCTGTGAATAAAGCAGGAGAAGCAATTACTAGATCGACACTAAATGTTGACTGTAAGTAATATTATAAGGGGTAAAAAAAAGTTACAATTTTAAGTCACATGTATCCTATCAACAGAAATAATTAGCTTGTCAACCACATGATGATTTTATATCTGGCCAACAGAAACAACTATCGTTAATCACATTATGATTATGTGTCCGATCAACAGACATAACTAGCTTGTATATCACATGCTGATTCTGTATGAAATCAACAGCAATGACTGTGATTCTGTATGAAATCAACAGAAACGACTAGCTTGTAAATCATCGGTGATTATATACAGCAACTAAACTATGGTAGAAATCGTTCGTCGCATATTTTTATCCAATATTTAACTTTTATCACTAGCTTGTTATATAAGTACACCCAAATTTTCATGCAGTTTCGTTTTTGAAAGGCGTCATTAATGGACTATATCTATATAGACAGTTTTTTTAGATGACATTTTGAATTGCTATCGTAAAACTTCATCGTGTATCTACATAGGCAATTTTTAGACGACGTTTCGAACTGCTAGCGTAGAACTTCATCATGTATCTATATAGGCAGTTTTTTTAGACGACGTTTCGAACTGCTAGCGTAGAACTTCATTATGTATCAATATAGGCAGTTTTTAGACGACGTTTCGAACTGCTAGCGTAGAACTTCATCATGTATCTATATAGGCAGTTTTTAGACGACGTTTCGAACTGCTAGCGTAGAACTTCATCATGTATCTAAGTAGGCTAGTTTTTTAGATTACGTTTTAAAATGCTAGCGTAGAACTTCATCATGTATCTATATAGGCAGTTTTTTTTGTACGACGTTTCGAACTGCTAGCGTAGAACTTCATCAAGTCGCCAGCAGCTCAAAACGTTGTCCAAAAAGCTTCCTAGAAAAATGTAGTCCATTCATAACGCTTTTCAAGTATACTCTTCTCTGTCTAAACCTTCTTTCGACAAGTTTAACTTGTCTTTTACCTCTATTTTTCTCAAGTGTGATTCTCATGGGCTTTTATGATAGATCTCGCTATTCTTTTAGCATTTATGTAAGACATTAGATATATAATTGTGTTATAACGCATGCTAGCAAAACATAACAATCTGAAAAACTAAGAAGTAAATGGATAACAAAGGGAGTCAAACAAAATAGTATGTTACTTCTCACTATTAATAAGGTTATGTTTTGGTCATTTAGTATACAAAGATCCCGAAAATATTATTACATGTTAAATGTTTTTCTGTGATCTAATTGCATTTCCAGACTTATCAAGAAAAGTGTTCAAAAATAAATTTTGAAATGTCCATATAATATAACTGTGGAAGTGGGAGGGACGTCAGAATAGAATTCTGATCTATTGCTTCGAAAAAATAGCGGTGAAACATACACTTTTTATTCTTAAATTCTATGCCACTTTTATTTGCTGTTTAGAGTATTTTCGATTATGCTCTGTGATAATACCGTTAATTGAAATATTTTGTTCTAAGTGTATAAAAGTAATTTTTTACATTCTGGAAAAATTAATGTTATTTTCAAAATAGTCAAATTGCTTGAAGACATTTATCCATTAGTCTTAATGAGTGAAAAAATATAACATTATTATTCAGATAAAAAAGTTTAGTACACTGAGTTAATATAATTATAAGTTACAAATTCTACTCATTCTCTGAAATGTATTTTTGTTGGTCAAAGTATCTGATTTTCTGGTAAAGCAGCACTTTTTTTATCTTTTCTGCTTTTTCAGCTTTTGAATACATCCCAGACTCTGAGATTGCTTCTATCAGCATGGACAAAGCTTCTGACGCCACCCTTCAAAGCGAAGAGGAACTTCCAGAAGAGACAGCAGAGCATCCAGTCGAAAAGATTTCTCCACCACCGCCCACTTCAGTGACCAAGAAGGACGTTCCCTTGAAGAAACAGGAACCTAGAACCGAACCAGGAATTGCACCCAAGTTTGTTACTAAACTAACTGAAACAGAATCTCGACCCGGCCATCCAGTCAGGTAGAATACAAGTAGTACATCGTATTTATAAAGTATTAGTATCAAACAATTGCTACTCAAATCAAGCAATATTAAACGGGTTCAAATTGAAACAAGCTAATATCAAAGTACCTGTCTTAGTGATTATTGACATTTCAAGCAAGCTCGTAGACATAGAACTATTTTGGCCATATTTGATATGCCATTTATATTTGTAATGCAGAGCTGTCGCTAGGTGCTGAAAAGATTAAGGGTTCGGGCCCAAAGGCGCGGGAATCTTCGGCGTTTCAATATGATATTGATCATGGTTTTCTATTTTGATTTTTCAAGACACCAACTTAGAATTCAGGGCACTGTCAAGTAGAATCAGGGCACGGGGCACGCTTGCCAGTGACTAGCGACGCTTCTGTTGTAATGAAATATTAATATTTTAGTTTGCCGAATTCTGTTGATAATTCCGAATACGTTGGCCCATGTGGCGCTACAAAAGAAACAATTATAAACTGAATTAATCTCGGTTACATAATTTTCATAAGGCTGTTTAAGTACAAAACTTAAAACAACACAAAACAATTCATTATTTTAATCTTTTTCCTAATTATCACCAGACAACTGTATGATACTAACAAGAGAACGTGTTATGACTGTTTAACAAAGTTAACGTAAGTGAAATATTAAGATTATTATAGATATTTCAGTTGATACTAGAACAGAAAATTTTCAGTGAAAGAGAACATTTTTATTTTTACAGGAATTACACACACATACATATATATATACATTGTTTTTGAGAACGATGCTCATACTGTGACCTACAAAGCCTGATTTTTAAACAACTCAATTCTATAATGTTAGCTTAGATACTTTGTGTGATTTTCTGCAGATTTTTATGATGTGGTTAATCTAAGACATCAGTTGATTTGTTAGAGCTCTGTTAATTAAGTAATTGTTTTTGATGACTTTATGGCAAAAGTTAAGCTAAAACATATGCATAACATAAAATTATGTTCTTTAAATTACCTTATAATCTATTTGTCTCTTGGATGTATCAGTTTGAGGTATTGTTTGATAAACGCAAGGCGTCCGTAAGTAGTGAGTTCAAAAACTATTTAGTATGCGTGACCTTCGCACATCTAGAAAATTTAAAAACTAGTTAACGAGTTGTATTTTAGAAATTATTCAAATGAACTCAAGCAGTTTTATTTTCCAAATTCAAAAAGTTCCTTAAAGAATTATTTTTACTATTGAGGGTGTCTGATTTCAACATCTAAGTTCCTGTTTTCTGACCTGACATTGTGTTATGATAAATCAGTCATCTAACCTCGAAATAGGAGGAGTCATAAAAGCCAAAATGCATTTATCCAGATAGAATAGTTCGATTACTGTCTACCCATTACGAGTTTAGTGACAAGGGTGCAAAGAGGCCGTGACGGGGTGTGTACCGTGAAACCTTATAAGTGTAGTGAGTGTTAGTATAATAAGCCTAAAGTAAAGAACTAGTGTGGGATCACCTAGACTATAGTCAAGTGCATAAGATTTATCATGAAAATACAAATATCGATCAACTTTAAACTTAAATCATTTATGAATTAAGCTATTTTTTGTTATATCACCAACGTTTTTGATAAAAAAAAACCTCTTTAATCAACAGAGACTCTAAATTAATAAATCAACAAATATTTTTTCTAGTTTTGTTGTCTATACATTTCATTTTATACTTTCTGTACACAGACTAAGAACAATATTAAGTTATACTTTTGTTGCTAAGCAACACGACATAAAAGCCATTGTTTGAACATAGTATTACCAAAACGTACTGGCTTTTCTTTATATTAGAAGTTGTTAATGAAATTGATTTTTACCAATAATTATTCTATGAATACACCACGAATTCATTTTATGAATGATCTTAATTTTTATTGGCTCACAAAGGAATTTACCGACGTTTGACTGCCTCGACTGTACTTTTCAGCCTCTTTGTTACTCAAGCTTGATTTCGCAAAATGTATTTATTTCAGTTAAATATGAAAAGTGAGGTTAATGGGGTGAGGGTGGTAGTACTTGCCCCGTCATTTTTGACGGGCTATACGCTAGTAAATATAATCAATGAATATTTGTAACATAATTTTTGTTATTGTCAAGGTTGGAATGCAAGGCCACAGGGACTCCACGACCCAAAATTACCTGGTATCGTCATGGTAAGATATTAAAGCATTCACCACAGTACCAGTTGGACTACCAACCGAACGGCACCTGTACTCTCGTAATCTCACGTTGTGTTTTAGAAGACACGGGCGAATATCTTTGTGAAGCCATGAATCGTAACGGCGTTGACGTCACTACATCTAAGGTTACAGTTCAGGGTAAATATCAGCCAATTTGGTTATTTTCTTATGAGAAAATTATCGTCTTCAATACAGCGAAAGACGGTATAATTAAATAATTACATTTATTATCTATTACAATTTATATGTAAAAAAAAATTAATCACTTCTTATATAGGTTCACTGACACGTATACTCGAACAATTGATATCTTATTATTATTATACAGACACACACACAACAAATGCTTTAGGTTGAGGGGTAAATACGCACAAAAATGTAGGAAAACTAGAGAGATAATAGTGAACAAGATTTTTATCTATCTATCTGTTTATTCGTGTGATTTGAGTAAAAATATACGAAATACAATCTTTCACTGCAACACAATTAGTAATACAATTAGGTAAAATGCACATGGTTTTGCAACTAGGCTGACGATTGTTTACTCAGAAGTATTATTGAACTGTTATCTAATAAACATAAAGATTACGTGAAAACATGCATGAGCAAATTACGTTACATACACGCGCTCTCCGAAAAGCCGATATAAACTCCATTGATATAAAGGTACTAAAGATAGTTTTCTTTAAAGGTTATTTACTTTTTTTCTACATTAAACTATTGAACTATAGTAAGTTGAGATGATAAAGAAACAGTAAAGGATAAGAAACCTGGAAAATATTTAAAAAATATGTTGTCACACATTCAATATATCCCTATTTTTGTAACATGACACTTTCAACTAAAGTGCTTAAAGTGTGAAGAAATTTAGTGCATAGTGTATTAGACCGAGTTACAACATTCAACATATTTAAGGGAATTAATATTCCCCCCAGTGGCACAGCGATACATGTGCAGACTTACAACGCTAGAAACCGGGTTTCGATACCCGTGGTGAGTAGAGCACAGATAGCCCATTGTGTAGCTTTGTGCTTAACTTCAAACAAACAAACAAAATAATAAAATGCTTAATTTAAGTATTACCATTTTACTATACTAAGATTAAACTTAATATTTGTAACTGGGAATAACAATATTTTTTTGTAACTTAGGGAAGAACCTTGTTTTGCATATAAGTAAAAAACAGAAACCTCCGAAGGGATATTAGTGGAAAGTTTGTGTTTATTTAAGATTTCTTTCATAACTTCTGCCAAAAACAATAATTGTTCAAGCACAAATGAATAATCAATATAATGCTATTTTTCAGCTTGTTATTCAATATTGCTTGACGATTTGTGGAAGTGATTACGTCATATAATTCCAGTATTTATTATCTTTATGCCTTCCTACTTGTCCAGCAAATAGGATTGTTTAACTGTTTAATTCATGCCAGGCCCAGAAATCAATAACGTTTCTAAAAATAGCCAAATGTTAAACACACTTATATTGCTATTCTAAACTTGTTAAATCTTAGGGAACTGTGCCTATTTCATTTTGATTTGGTGCACACTGTTTTATAGTATTTATGTAAAAAATTCCAGACTTATTTCTTTATTACTTCATTCGGGTATTTTTCTTTATGGAAGTGAAAACTTTTACCTAATTTAGGTTTGTTATCTGTGAGTAAAATTCTCCTCATCTGAATACAAGCGGATGAGAATGATGCAGCTCGAAAAATAACTTTTAAGATCATGAAAGATCTCGTGATTTTGACATATCTCACAAGTAATCCAACATAATGCTTCTGTCCTGAAATACAGTTCCAATATTGTCTTGTGTAAAAACATCACTGATGTGTGTGTTATATACATATTTTAAGATAGTCGCCAGAACTAAACATCAGAACCTAAAAGATATGTTACTTTTTGAGTTAGGGGTTTCTCAAGAGCGACGAACAATCATAACAGACTAGATAGGGCGGAGCTTTGTATCGAAACCACAAAAAGCAAATAAGAGCATGGAAAGAAATATTTCATTTTATGATGCATCGGATAACTTTTTGTTTTACGTGTTATGCGAAAGCATAGCAATAAAGAAGAAATTAAATTATTACATTTTGCTTCTTTTTTTGTGCTATGTGCCCTTTGGGTTTGTTTCAATAGTAAATTAAACTTATATATACCTTTCAGAATACAAACCTAAGCCTCCTGTTCGAGTTGAAACCAAGAAGATAGAAGGTAAACATATTTATATTACAACATCAAATAAATTGATTAATATTGACTCTTGACTGGACAATAAGTAAAAACTGACTAATAAATCAGCATGGTTTGTTATGTAAACTTACAATAAAGAACGGTGCAGTTAAAAAGAAACCCTTTCTAAAAGTTTTGCATTTGTTTATGTACTAGTATTGTGTAATAACCTTGCATGTAATAAAGAATGAACATAAGAGATAGGACTTGAATTCTGAAGCTATAATATAGTTTATTAAGTCTAGCAATTGTTAGTGGTATGTATCCTTAATTAATCATGATATAAAGTACAATGATCCTCCAAATGATTTGGCTTGTTCTGTGCTAGAATAATTAAAAACCCTTAATTAATATCCCTAAAAACTCGTGAAACTAATGATTTGATTTGATGTTTTAACCATTGTTTTGCTTTCTCAGTATATAGCATATTTTGAAAAGGAAATAAGCAAGCACATAGAGAAAGGTAAGTTTTTGAAATGCAGTTTTTTGTTATCGTGTGAAAGAACAAAAACCATTCGAAAGAACGGATACTGATACTTAGTCAATAAATATAATACTTGACCTGTCATGAAATGTATAATAAGTAAATAAATACTAGCATGCACGCAGCACACACTCACACATACACACAACACCACTGTAAATCAGATAAAGTTTATCTAAAAACATTTTGTGAGTTCAGGAATTTGAAATAAAACTTAAAGTACTCATATATATCTTTTCATATCATTATTAAGTTGAAGTGTAAAATGATTGAATAATTAAGTTAAATATAATTGATAGTTATACACCTATAAGATCATTATGCGAGTCTTTATAATAATATTTTATCATTTTCAAGTACAATCAACCAATTTGTGTTGTTTTTACCTATACACTCTTTGTATTTGCTACGAACATACGTTAGCAAATTCATATTAAACTTAAGAAAGAGAGGAATGTTTAATTAGATGTTATTTTACAAGTAGATTTGTAAATACTTTCCTGTAATGCATTCTAGAAATAAAGACGTATAATGTTTTGCTAATTGGTAAGTAAAACTTGCTAATAATGCGCTTCAAAACTTATTTTACAACTGCAAGTAAGATCTTATGGCGATAAGCAAGTAAAAATCGTCTGGTTGTAGACAAGAACTTCTGACAGCAAGCAAGTAAAAAGCATCTGATGATTGTAAATACATGAAAACAACTAAGTAAAATAATCTGAAGACTGAGAAGTCAAATTTTTTTACAATAAGTAAGTAAAAATAATTTGGCAACAAGCAAGTAAGAATCATATATCGGTAAGCCAATTTTTTTTATTGGATCTCAGAAAAATACCCGTAAATAGTAAGGAAATGCAAGTTTGAAAGTTTTTCATCTAGTAACTTCGCGTTGTTGTCTTATAACATTTAACATGATTGTAGTAATGTTGTGTGACTTATAACAACTAATATTTGAAACTACTGTATCGAATATCGCTACAAAATATTATTTTTTGCGTGAGCTACCTAAATTTATGGAATTTTCATTTCACATTTTACTTAAATCTGTGTCATAAAATAAAATAGCTCTATTTTATAGTTTTTCATATTTATATCATAGAATTGAATAGAGTAAATTTTTAATGGATTTTACATTAGTTAATATTGATATCTGATAAAATTTCATATATATTTATGTCAGTAGAAGTCTTACTTGTAATTCAAACAAAATGGATTGATTTTAATCATTGTTATACACATTGCATGAAGAGTCGTAGCCCTAATCTAAATAAAATAACAACGCTTTTTCAGAAGAAAAACCTCAACCGCCATCTTTCGAAACAACTCTCAATGACTTATTTGTAAAAACCCCTGGCGGAAAAGCAACATTTGAGTGCTTTGTTCGAGGGAAGCCTAAACCGGAAGTTACTTGGTATCACAATGAAAAGAAGATTGATTCTACTAGCAAGAAATACACAATTATAAACCAGGAAGATCGAAGTACTCTACACGTCACCAAAGTCACTAATGAAGTCGGTGGGCGATACACGTGCCATCTGGTGAACGTACTTGGCCAACAAACTTCTACGGCTTATCTCTACGTTGGAGGTATGACAGAAAGAAACTGTTTTATCATCAATAAATTGCGCTTTATAGTTTTATCACAACAGCACAACAAGCTTGTAATAGGCCCCACCTTATAGTCGAATAGTTTTTACTTTAAAATAAATAGAATACGTTAAGTAGTTAGTGACATGTTGGCGTATAATATTACCATAATTTTTTAGTATGAATATGTACAATTCCTAATAACTATTGCATATCATTTTGAAAATGACAATAAATTAGATGACCCATGTTAGCGCAAACTTTGAAAAACACATTGGTATTTTAGTTTCAAAATGTCATCAACTATAGTCCTGTCTTCACATCTCTCAATTTTCCCAATATTTTGTTGTCAGTAACATAAAAATGTGGTTTCCTCGTAACAAATGTTCTTTCGGTCTTAGATTGCAACGCTCTTTCCTTACCACTATAAAATAGTTTATTAGTCTCCGTATGTATTGAAACGTTTTATTACTTGTACCAGGGTTAGACAAACTACGACACACAGGAAGATTTTATTTTGCTCTCGATGTAATTGAAAATTTCCTGTTTATTACTCTTTGCGCCTCATGTACTCTGAAATGTAGAAAAACTACTTGTTGCGTCAGCCTACATACCGTTCTTAGTTCCTGCCCTTCTAAAGTTCAAATAGTTGATACCGTTCTTAGTTCCTGCCCTTCTAAAGTTCAAATAGTTGATACCGTTCTTTGCTCCTGCCCTTCTAAATTCAAAATATTAATACCGTTCTTCGTTCCTGCCCTTCTAAGTTCAAACAGTTAATACCGTTCTTAGTTCCTGCTCTTCTAAGTTCAAACAGTTAATACCGTTCTTTGCTCCTGCCCTTCTAAGTTCAAACAGTTAATACCGTTTTTAGTTTCTGCCCTTTTAAGTTCAAACAGTTAATACCGTTCTTAGTTCCTGCCCTTCTAAGTTCAAACAGTCAATACCGTTCTTAGTTCCTGCCCTTCTAAGTTCAAACAGTTAATACCGTTCTTTGCTCCTGCCCTCATAAGTTCAAACAGTTAATACCGTTCTTTGCTCCTGCCCTCATAAGTTCAAACAGTTAATACCGTTCTTAGCTCCTGCCCTCATAAATTCCAACAGTTAATACCGTTCTCATAATTTTATTATTTAGGGCACCTTGTCTTTGTAAGCTAATTAATAATTATTATGACTTTCTTATGAATACCAATGTCATATAATACACAATTGTGGAGAAATATATATTATAAATCTAGTAAAGAATATCAGTTAAAAGACTCCCAGCGGCACAGCGGCATGTCTGCAGACTTACAACGCTAGAAATCGCGTATCGATACCCATGGTGGACAGAGCACAGATAGTCCATTGTGTAGCTTTGTTCTTACTTACAAGCAATCAGTAAAATGTAATATTCTACTTTTTCAATGGTCTCAAAAATAAACTATGTTATGTAACCTAGATTTCTGAATAAAAAAGATATTTCAAATATAACGAAAAATTTATACAAATACTTTTCTAGCTCACTATACAATACAATACTAGCGTTTTGAATTCCAATGTTACTGTAAAGACACGAATAACGTTATTGAAACTTGGTAATATCGTATACGCAAAACCCATTCCTATTCATAATAAGTAAATAACACACGTAATCTGGTATACCATAAATGTTTCCAGATAATGTTCTGATAACGACCTAAAAATCTGTGGTCAAATGTGCGATCGTTATGTGTTTTTTTTCAGATTTACTGAAATTTATTTTTAATAAGATATTGAATTACGTTTGCTGTGGGCTTCATTTTGAGGACCACTGTTGCTAAGTAGAGTATTATATATTTTCCAGTTACAAAAGAAGAGCATGAAGCAAAAATCCGGGAAGAAAAACTAAAGGAAGAGGCAACGAAAGAACTCGAAAAAGTGAAACCAGTCACAAAGAAGCTTGATGTTTCTTTCACAACAAAAGAATCTGTCTCTATGATGGAAACTCGCACAGAAAGTATGACACGAACTTTAAGAATGGAGAAAGATGTAATAGAACGACGTCCTGGGGTAATATTTTCGACACAAGATCATATTGGAGTAGAACAAATTGAGACTGAAGAACGTCCAAAAGGTATTAAGCCATTTAAACCCAAGGAGTTTAAAGCCGAAGAGAAAAAAATGGAAAAACCTACCCTGAAAAAAATAATAATAACGCCTAAACCCGAAACAGGTAAACCTAAAAAGCCAGAAGAAGAAAAACCAAGAGAACTAATACCGAGGTTTGCACCTGGTAGAGTACGTGAAGAAAAGCCAGAAGATACGGTGGAAAGTAAATCATTAATATCATTAAAAAAGCGGGATGTTATTTATAAACCGAAACCAAAGGAGGAATTTGTAGACGTAACAGACTCAACTGTAGAGGAATCAAGAAAAATAACAGTAACAACAGGAATGAAGAAAACAACTGAACAAACGACAGAAATATCAAAGACAACGCCTGGTTTAAAAGAAATCATTATTGAAAAAAGACCTATAGAGGAGAGAAAAATCACTTTAGAAAGTATTGAAATACCGAAACTTGAAGTAGACAGCAAACAGAAGAGAGAGATTACTTTGGAGAGCAAAGAAACAATTAAGCCAAAAGAAGAAAAGGAGAAGCCAGTGAAACAAAAATTTATCCCCGAAGAAAAACCAAAAGAAGAAAAACCTGAAACAGTTGAAACGAAGTTCACTCTAAAGAAGAAAGAAAGAGAAAAACCAAAAAGGAAACCGGAAAAAGATATTCCAAAGGAGATAAAGGAGGATAAAACTATATTAGAAGAACAAAGAGTTGTGACGGTTGAGAGCAAGAAAAAGCTCACAAAAGAAGAAGTAGAAACAAAAGATGTAGTCAAGAAACCAGAAGACATTAGAAAAGCGCCCGAACTTAAAGAAATAATGATTGAAAGAAAACCTATTGAGAAGGACAGAGAAATTAAGTTAGAGAGTCGTGAAATACCAGACATAGAAGTAAAGGAAGATAAGAAACGAGTAATAACTATAGATAGCAAAGAACTTCCTAAGCCTAAAGAAGAAGTTAAACCAAAAAAGGTAACAAAAGAAGAACCAAAAGAAGAAAAACCTGAAACAGTTGAAACGAAGTTGTTTCCAAAGAAAAAAGAGGAAGTGAAACCAAAAAAGAAACCAGAAAAGGATATTCCAAAGGAAATAAAGGAGGTTAAACCTATAGAACAAAGAGTTGTAACTGTTGAGAGCAAGAAAATGTTCACAAAAGAAGAAATAGAAATAAAAGATGTAGTCAAGAAACCAGAAGACATTAGAAAAGCGCCCGAACTTAAAGAAATAATGATTGAAAGAAAACCTACTGAGAAGGACAGAGAAATTAAGTTAGAGAGTCGTGAAATACCAGATGTAGAAGTAAAGGAAGATAAAAAACGAGTAATAACTTTAGATAGCAAAGAACTTCCTAAGCCTAAAGAAGAAGTTAAGCCAAAAATGGTAACAAAAGAAAAACCAAAAGAAGATAAAACTGACATTTCTGAAATTAAAATGAAAATTTCTACAAAAGAAATAGCAAAACCAGACGAAAAACCCAAACTAAAATCCCTAAAAGAACCAAAAACAGTGAAAGCGGAGGAGAAAAAGATGGAAATAGAAAGTAAAGTGGCATGGAAAAAAGTAGAAAAAATTGATAAAACTCCAAAAGAATCGGTGATAAAGGAAATTAAACCTGAAGAACAACATGAAGTAACATTAGCAGCTCGTCAAATTCCAGAAATAGAAGTGAAACCACAAAAGAAGACAGATGTTACAGTGGAGAGTAAAGGGACTCCTAAGCAAAAAGAAGAAAGAGTGGAATTAAAACCAACAAGAGTATCAAAAGAAACACTGCAGGATGTACAATTGCTAGAAGCAACGAAGGTAACGTTAAAAGGGATAAAAAAGCGAGAAGAAACGAAGCCAGAAGAAAAGCCTAAACCATTGGAGGAAAAACTAGACGAAACAACAGAAATTACATTAGAAACCAAACGTCGTGCAAAACCAGAAACCAAAAAGCCCGAAGTAAAACCTGAAATCAAAATAGAAACTACAGATCTGCCAAAACCAAAAGAAGAAAAACTGAAGATTACATTAGAAACTCGAGAATATCCAGAAGTTGAAGTTACATCTCAGGAAAAACGAGAGATTTCTATAGACACTAAAGAAATGAAGCCACGAAAAGTAGGTGAGACACAAGAGGAAACTAAGATGAGCTTACAAGAAAGTATTGCCGGTATTTCTATTATTAGGAAACCTGAAAGTAAACCCAAACCAACACCATCCCCAAAACGAGATGAAAAAACTGAGACAATTGAAAGTACAGAAAAACTAGAAAGAAAATCTGAAATATTTTTAGAAAGCAAAAAAGTACCAAAGCCTAAGCCAGAGCAGGTTCCCAAGCCTAAGGAAACACGACAGGAACTTGAAATGACAATCAAGAGGAGAAAAGATATCGAACAGAAACCAAAAGAAAGGACAGAAACTGGTTTAATTATAACTGAAGAAGCCAAAGTAGAGGAAAGACCTGAAGAGCAAGTGGAACAGATGCCACCATTTACAAGAGAATCTTTCATGGCTAAGCAAGATATTTTAACTAAAGAAAGTGTTTCAGTAATGGAAGTAACTTCAGAATCAAGAGTGACAATGATGACTACAGAAGAAAGGCATTATCAAACAGCAAGTCTTAGGACCAGGTTTGCTCCAAGGCAAACGGTTATCATTTCGGAAATTGGCACTGAACAAATTCCAGCAGAACTGAAACCAGAAAAACCTGGTGATGTACATGCAATAGTCGAGTTTCCAGAGAGTGAGTATGTTAGTGTGTATGAAACAAAACCCGAAGAAAAGACTGAGACGTTTGCTCCAGGTGTTACTCCAGGTCAGGTTTCAGCCCAAAAGAAGTTCACACCACAAGAATCAGTAACAATAGAAGAGGTCACAACAGAAATGAAGACTGAGGAATTAAAGCCTGAAAAGAAAATACCAGAAAAGCATGCTGTTATGGATCTCACTTCACATGAGTCATACGAAATTTCGCATGTTACATCTGAAGAAAAGCCAGGAGAATTTGCACCAGGATATCTTCCTGGAGAGGTAAAAGCTGGAGTTCACTGGACACCAAAAGAATCTTATGCTGTCTCTGAAGTTATAACAGAAGGAAAGTCAAAAGAATTCACAACTGGTGAAACACCATTCAGTTTCAAGGCTACACAGCAGATTACATCGAAAGAATCCCTCTCTGTTTCTCACGTAGTTACAGAAACAAGAACAGAGGAACTTCAATCAATACCAATACCAGAAAGTAAAAACATTGGATTCCAGGTAACTCCTCAAGAAACATTTACAGTTTCTGAAGTGACACTGGAAAGTAAACCTTCAGAATTTGCTCCAGGACAAGCACCATTCACCCAGAAAGCAAAAACAGAATTTACTTCCAAGGAAACTATCTCTGTGTCTGAAGTCACAACCGAACAGATTACAAAAGAATTATCACCAGACAAGAAGCCAAAGGTTCAGTCTCTTCAACCAGAAATTCTAACACAGGAATCTATGGCTGTATCTGAAACAACAACACAGATGAAAGCTTCCGAATTTGCTGCAGGAGAACTTCCTAATCAGGTGACAGCAAAAGTTGATTACTCACCAAGAGAATCACTATCAATACAAGAAGTTCAACACGAAGAAAAATCAAAGGAACTTACCGTTGAAAAGCCCCAAGAAAATAAGGCTTTGCTTGATATCACTACTAAAACGTCCCTTATTGTTTCGGAAGTTAGTAGTGAAATGAAACCCAAAGAATTTACCCGAGGAGAATCGCCTCATCAGAAGAAAGCTGAAATGACTGTTGCACCAGAAGAGTCAGTAGCTGTATCTGAAGTAACATCAGAATTTAAACCGGAAGAGTTTGTAATGCCAGAAGCACCTAAAAAAGGCATTGCTGACGTCAGTTTTGCTCCACAAGAATCAGTATCTGTTTCTGAAATCACCACAGAATCAAAGCCAAAAGAATTTGCTCCAGGGCAGGCACCCTTTTCGCAACAAGCCACGGCAGAATTTACTTCAAAGGAAACCGTGTCTGTGTCTGAGGTAACAGCAGAACAAATTACTAAAGAATTATCACCAGTGATAATACCCAAAGAACAATCACTTCAACCCAAAATTTTAACACAGAAATCCATGTCTGTGTCTGAAACAACAACTCACATGAAAGCTTCCGAGTTCGCCCCAGGAGAACTTCCTAATCAAGTGACAGCAAAGATTGATTACTCACCAAGAGAATCTCTGTCGATACAAGAAGTTCATCATGAAGAAAAATCGAAGGAACTTACTCTTGAAAAGCCCGAAGAAAAGAAAGCTCAATTGGATATCACTCCAAAAACCTCTTTTACAGTATCAGAGGTTAGTAGTGAAATGAAACCAAAGGAGTTTATACCAGGAGAGTCTCCACTTCAAAAGAAAGCTGAAATGACTGTTGCCCCTGAAGAATCTGTAGCTGTGTCTGAAGTGACTTCAGAAATTAAACCAGAAGAGTTTATGACTCCTCAAGCACCTAAAAAAGGAACTGCTGAAGTAAGTTTTGCACCTCGAGAATCAGTAACTGTTTCCGAAATCACTGCAGAATCAAAGCCAAAAGAATTTGCCCCAGGGCAAGCACCATTTACACAAAAAGCAAAAGCAGAATTTACTTCAAAGGAAACTGTTTCGGTGTCCGAAGTTACAACTGAGCAAATTACTAAAGAACTAGCACCAGAGATAAAACCCATAGAACAGTCGCTTCAGCCAGAACTTCTAACTCAAGAATCCATGGCTGTGTCTGAAACAACAACGCAGATGAAAGCTTCCGAATTTGCCCCAGGAGAACTTCCTAATCAGGTGACAGCAAAGATTGGTTACTCACCAAAAGAATCTCTGTTTGTACAAGAAGTCCAACATGAGGAAAAGTCAAAGGAATTTACTCTTGAGAAACCTGATGAAAAGAAAGCACAACTGGATATCACTCCAAAAACCTCTCTTACAGTATCAGAGGTTAGTAGTGAAATGAAACCAAAGGAGTTTATACCAGGAGAGTCTCCACTTCAAAAGAAAGCTGAAATGACTGTTGCTCCCGAAGAATCTGTAGCTGTGTCTGAGGTAACTTCAGAAATTAAACCAGAAGAGTTTGTAACGCCTCAAGCACCTAAGAAAGGTATTGCTGAAGTAAGATTTGCACCTAGAGAATCAGTAACTGTTTCTGAAATAATAACCGAAACAAAACCAAAAGAATTTGCTCCAGGACAGGCACCATTTACACAGAAAGCAAAAACAGAATTTACTTCAAAAGAAACTGTTTCAGTATCTGAAATTACAACTGAACAAGTCACGGAAGAATTAGCACCAGAGATAAAGCCCATAGAAAAGTCACTTCAACCAGAACTTCTAGTAGAAGAGTCTATGGCCGTGTCTGAAACAACGACGCAAATGAAAGCATCTGAATTCGCCCCAGGTGAACTGCCTAATCAAGTTACAGCAAAGATTGATTACTCACCAAGAGAATCTCTATCCGTGCAAGAAGTCCAACATGAGGAAAAGTCAAAGGAACTTACTATCGAAAAACCGGAAGAAAAAAAGGCTCAACTTGACATCACTTCAAAGAGATCTTTTATAGTATCTGAAGTTAGCAGTGAAATGACACCAAAAGAGTTTATTCCAGGTGAGTCCCCACATGAGAAGAAAGCGGAAATGACTGTAGCACCTGAAGAATCTGTAGCTGTGTCTGAGGTGACTTCAGAAATTAAACCAGAAGAGTTTGTAATGCCTCAAGCACCTAAGAAAGGTATTGCTGAAGTAAGTTTTGCACCTCGAGAATCAGTAACTGTTTCTGAAATAACAACAGAAACAAAGCCAAAAGAATTTGCTCCAGGACAGGCACCATTTACACAGAAAGCAAAAGCAGAATTTACATCAAAAGAAACTGTTTCAGTATCTGAAATTACAACTGAACAAGTCACGGAAGAATTAGCACCAGAGATAAAACCGAAAGAGCAAACACTTATGCTACAGATTTTAACACAAGAATCAATGGCTGTGTCTGAAACTACAACACAGATGAAAGCATCTGAATTTGCCCCAGGTGAACTTCCTAATCAAGTTACGGCAAAGGTTGATTACTCACCAAGAGAATCTCTGTCCGTGCAAGAAGTCCAACATGAGGAAAAGTCAAAGGAACTTACTGTCGAAAAACCGGAAGAAAAAAAGGCTCAGCTTGACATAACTTCAAGGAGATCCTTTATAGTATCTGAAGTTAGCAGTGAAATGACACCAAAAGAGTTTATACCAGGAGAGTCTCCACTTCAAAAGAAAGCTGAAATGACTGTTGCCCCCGAAGAATCTGTAGCTGTGTCTGAGGTAA